CAGATATTTCCATTTCACCAAACTTTCTCTAAGTCATAATACATATTTTAAATTCATCTACCACAATAATCTGATTATATAAATTAACAACGTTGCATTAGGATTACCCAGCTATCATACATTCTTCTTTTTTTTCTGCCCTCCTTTATTGAGGGGGAGATAAAAATCATCATATAATGTGTGACGCAATTTACAGATGAACCCTCTCTCTCTCTCCCCCTCCACCTATATATATGTATATCTATATGATCTCTAAAATCATGTTGGTACCTCTACCTGTTTGAATGTTAGGCCCCTTTCCTTCAACTGTTTCTGTGTGAATCTTCTCCATGGGGGTCATCCATAAATGACGTCACGCTTTTTTAACGATTTTTACCTCCTCCCCTCTGTCACATATCGTCACAAAAAGCCAGACCCCCCCCTAAAATGACGTCACACATTACTAGATTCTAGATCTAAAATAATACAGTTGCATACACTTAAGTTCTACAACAAGACCACACTAAACTTCACTAGATCCAGTGGCGTAGCGAGGTCGGGTGTCACCCGGTGCGGCACTTAATGGTGTCCCCCCCCCCCCAGAGGCGTTGCAACCTTTCCCGGGGACAAACTTTCAAGTTTTCGATTTGCACCCCCCCCCTCAAACTTTCGATTTGCACCCCCCTTCAAGTTTTTCTCTATATATTTTGCTATTTTTTGCCTTGGTGTCACCCCCCTAAATGGTGTCACCCGTTGCGGTCCGCACCCCCCCCCCCCCCTCGCTACGCCCCTGACTAGATCTAGAATAATCTAGATTCTATATATAAATTGATATTGAACATATTCTAGTCTACCTGTCTTAAAGTAAATAGCCTATTTATTAGGCCTAATTTTAGTAATTAATTCCACTAAATTACACTGTAAAATAAAAGAATCTAGATCTAGAATCTACTCTTGAGTCTATAAATTAAATTAAATCCTGTATGTCGTATGTTACTGTCTAAGTCGGAATTTTCAAGAGGGCTTTTTTTTTAAGTCATAGATCTAGATCTAGAATCTATATATAGAATTCTAGATCTAGAAATCTAGATCTAGGCCATATATCCTATATATATATAATATATAGAATCTATACATTTATTAAATTTAGGCTTGATTTCAGATTGACGATTGAAATCTTTTAGGCCTATAAATCTCATATTTTATATAGGCCTAAATGTATTATTATTATACAGGATGTATTCTAGATCTATCTAGATCTATATTATTATAAAATATAATATATTTGTGTGTGTGTTATTTTAAACTTAATTTACTTAAAACAATTCATTGTCGGAGTTCGTTTTTATTCCAAAAGCGAAAGTAGATTTCATAACTTAAAAAAAAAATTAATAAAAAATATTCACATTTGGTTTGAAAAACAACAAAAACACTAGCTGGCAACTACCGGAGCGAGAACTTGCTAAGCTACTTTAACAACTTACAAGCCCAATATCCTCAGATGTTATCGTCTTTAGTGGGAAGGCTTCTGGCCAACGTGTTGCAAAGTCGACTATTGTGAGGATGTATCGGTGACCACGTTTTGATGGGGTAGGCAGTGGTCCTATGATATCTATCGCTATTTTTTCGAATGGTCTGTTAGCTAAATCAGTGGTTTGTAATGGGGCTTGGGGTGGTCTAGTGGTATCTCTATTCCTGCATGTCTGACATGACTTCACGTACTGTGAGATGTCTTTGTCCATGCCCGGCCAGTAGAAGGTAGTTTCAATTCTTTGTTTTGTTTTCTTTCTTCCCATGTGTCCTGCAAGTGTAAGGTCGTGTGCATGGTGTAGAATTTGTGCTCTGTATTTCTGTGGGATTACTAATTGGTTTATTTCTTGTCCTTTGCTTTTATATTTTCTTTGAAGCGTGTTATTCTTAATAAAGAAAGAGTGTTCTGATGACCTCGATGTAGTAATTGAGTGTTTACGGGCGAGTCTAAATATCTTTTCTAGTGACGGGTCTTCTTGTTGTGCTAGCTGAAATTTTTCTGGTTCCCAAATGTTTTTGGCCTCAGTATTATCTATGGCATTGTTCTGTTGGCCTTCTGCTTGATGACTACTTAGGTCGACGGGTGGTTCATGACTTTTGTTGCTTTCTCTTGCTTTTCTTGCTTGTTCTCTTGTTTCGACCATCTGAATTATTTCCCTTTGTACCCAATCGTCGATTTCCACTCGGGAAATAGTTTCGTTGTTCACTATGTTTCCGATGATCAGATCATACGATCCATTGTCAGTGACCACAGCAATTACACGACCAGTTAGATATGGGGTTTGAATATTGATCAATGCCGTTTTGTATTCTGCGATTATACCGCCAAATAATTCCACATTTACATATCGGCCTGTATATTGGCATGTTTTAACGAATTTGGCTTTTACTGCCATTGTCGAACAACCAGTGTCTCGAATTGCGTTTACTATCTGTCCGTTTACTTTAGACTTAAATGTTGGTAACGAGCTTGATGTGTTTAGTAGGTGGATTCTTTCAACTGGTTGGTTATGGTTTTGTGAAGGGTTGTTTCTCTGTGGTCTCTGGTAAGGTTCGTTCCTTGAAGATGAGCGTTGTTGGCTTAGTTGTTCTAAGTAGTTCACTCGAGTTTCAACTCTAAATTGTTTCACACCTCTAATATTCCCTAATATCACATCGTATGGCCCGTTTTTAAAAACAGCTGCTTCAACTGTTTTACACGCTGATGGTGTGGCTATGGTGACTATAGCTGTTGGCCAAACATATGTGATGCCTCTTGAGCTGTGAACACGTTGTGTTCTGCCTGTGTATTGGTGGTGTTGTACGAATGTGTTACGTACTGCCACTGTTGAGCAGTGTGTGTCCCTAATTGCTGTGGCGTATCTGCTATTAATTTTTGACGTAAATGTGTCTGTTCTTTTACTGGCTTCTGTAAACGATGATATGAATGCCATTCTATTAATCTGTCTATATTTTGGTCTGTTGCGTTGTGCATCTTGTTGGCGTATATCATAATATCGTATTCTGCAATTTATTTGTTTGTGGCCTGTTCTATTACAATAGTAGCATCTGACACTGTAATTGTGTTTTTGTTGACTGTAGTTAATCTGAATGTTGTGATTTGCGCTATTATGTTTTTGGAGTGTATGTAGTGTTTCACTTATTGTAGTAGGTATTTCGCTTGCTTCACTGAACGTGTCATCTGAATCTGAATCGTAGGAATAGTAAAATGTTGTTTCAGCTGTCTGGTTGTTATTATTAGTATCTAAACTTTGCACCGTTTCTTGTTTGGCTTGGCAAAGTTCTCTCAATTTTTCTCTTTCTTTACGAATTCTTTCTGTTTCTTCTTTAAGTCCGGCAATATATGTTTCTGCTTCTCTTTGTTTCTCTGCTAACTCGGCATCTATCTTTGCATCATATTCTTCTTCAGTCAACAAGGAATCTGGATCTCCGAATACCTTGTAATCTACAATTCTATTGATCAAATCTTCCATAGCATCTGGATCATCTAGAGTTTTTACGTCAAATTCTTTAACAGTTAATAACCAGTCTCGATTTTCTGTTGTCGTGTATTGTCCAAGCCTAATAATCAATTCATCCAGAATATCTGGATCCTCAATAGTTCTTGAATTGCTTTTCACTTTGACTGTATTCTGAACATTTATATCTAGTAACGAGTTATCAATTCTAACTGACTCTTCTAGGCCTGACTTAAGCTCAGTTTTAGTGCCCACTTCGTACAATGGAGGCATTTTTAAGGGTAGTGTGGTTGAAGAAACAGACAAGAAGGAGGCAGAAAAACCGCTGGCACCAAATATCCAGCACAAGTCTAAACCCAAACGTTTAAAAAATTTTTGGAAGGTACTTATCTTTTTGGACATGTTGACTGTTTCCTTGTGTTGTTAATCCAAACTCGTTCCGGTTGAAGAAACCCACTGTTGTGTTGAGTTGAAGAAAGCCGTACACCAGTCGTACTCCGTCATGAATAGCTGATATACGTTCTTTCCCTCACTCGACCCGCGCTCCACCAATTGTGAGGGTGGGGATTTTTATGAAGGCGGTAACGAATGTATCCAACAACACGCAGTTCAAGTTCAACTATAATTGTTCTTTATTAAAAATGATATATATGTTCAAGTTTCTACCTAACTGATCTACACTGTACTATTTACTACTACTACTGACTGTTCATACCACATGCTACCTACTACTACGACCAATCCTAACACTAACTGTTCTCTACATTCTACAATCTCACACCTTCTACCTCGCTAGCTAATCATGAACTCCTAACTGTCTACATTCCTCGGCCGTCTCTGCCGCTACCTAACAACTCCTGGCCCATCGCTCTACTGACCCACGCCTCAGTGGTCAGCTGACCGTCCCATGTGACCGGTCAGCCCTGTGCGCCCATTGGCCTCTATCTGACCAACCAACTATGGTCTATAGTCTGTTTCTGCTAACCTATATCTGCTAAACATGTCTGACGTAATCTTGCGTCATCACAAGAAGTCCAGCCTATTTGTAAAGAGGCTGGAACTTTGTGGGTTGACCTCTTGACTAACATCTTTTAGAAACCTTTACTGAGTAATTATGTTAGCACTTTTTAATAGGAAAGAAGTTGTCTCCCTTTTCTGACAGAATACAAATTATAATTAATTATATGATTTAGGACATAGTTCAAAAATGATACATAGAGCAACCTAATAATATTGTACTAGAGTCTGTGAAGATTTGTAAATGTGATCATGTGCTTACTATAAGTAATACTACTGCATGTTTTCTTGAAAATTTGTCTTAGGTTTATTTGGTCCCATATATTTGATTTCATACATCATATCACAACTAAAAAATTATGTTCATGTTGAATGCAATTAATTTTTACCCATACTCAAGGTAAAATAAATATTGATACTATTTTTACTTTCAAAATTGTACTTAAAACACATTTTCAATCATGATTAAATGAGAAGTTGTATTTATCAAATAAAACTTGTTTTGTCCATTTTTAGCAAACCTCCCAGCAGTAGAGAATGAGTGTAGGATGTAAGAGACTGCTGGTTGTCATGGTGACGTGTGTGTTCTGTGCCACCATATACATGGGCTCCCAGAGCTTCTTAGACCAGCACCAGCCTGCTATGTCAAGTCCAGTGCTCAAACGTTTGGCCAAGTTACCCAGCAGACATCAGGCCACTGAAGAGTTCAGGATGGCCAGGGATATACTCAGTGGCCCTCATGTCCGTCCACATAACCCTGGGGAGATACCTTCAACAGCTTATTATGTTTGGTGTGGGGACAAACCCTTCACGTTTGGAGATTATTTGGGAATCCTCAGCATTGTCAAAATTTTAGAACCATTGAGAATATTCTTTTACTACAACAAACTTCCTTCAACAACAGAAGGATTTTTTTATCATTCCTGGTTTCCAGAGTTGAAACAGTCGCTGGCTAATTTGGTTTTCTGGGAAATTGAAAAACCAATCAGTTGTGATACACCAGATGCCATGGAGCTCGCTCTGGAGCTGATGTTGTCAAGCCAAGCTGGGGGCGTCTATGTGGGTGAGAGGGTTGTCTTGACGCATATCCCTGACACATGGAAGACTGGCAAATATTTCACTTACATAAACCACAGCAGCAAAACTAAAAATGAGCCGATGCTAGTTTTCATCAGACAGGGAGTAGACAGGAAACATGAGAGGAACCAACTTAAAAACTTTGTTTTAAATCAGAGCCAGGAGTGTCACACATCAGAACAGTTGGAGCTGATGGGTTCAGAGAAGTCACCCTGTGTGGTCTTGTCAGGTCGGCTCAACCCCAAAAACATCATTAACAACACAGCGTCATTCAGCGCCTTCTTGAGGTGGCTATACTATGGCAGGACTGATGCTCTATATGCTAAACAGAGTCAGGTATGTTATGCTCTATATGCTAAACAGAGTCAGGTATGTTATGCTCTATATGCTAAACAGAGTCAGTTATGTTATGCTCTATATGCTAAACAGAGTCAGGTATGTTATGCTCTATATGCTAAACAGAGTCAGGTATGTTATGCTCTATATGCTAAACAGAGTCAGTTATGTTATGCTCTATATGCTAAACAGAGTCAGGTATGTTATGCTCTATATGCTAAACAGAGTCAGGTATGTTATGCTCTATATGCTAAACAGAGTCAGGTATGTTATGCTCTATATGCTAAACAGAGTCAGGTATGTTATGCTCTATATGCTTAACAGAGTCAGGTATGTTATGCTCTATATGCTTAACAGAGTCAGGTATGTTATGCTCTATATGCTAAACAGAGTCAGGTATGTTTTTTAAGGGGGAGGATGGCGTCTGATATGTCTTTTAACATTGCTAAGGCTGCACTTTAGGCAACAAAAACAAAAAATAGATCTGGTGAAATGACGCCAGGAAAGGTTGTGGTGTTTTTTGTTCTATGATTTTAATTGAACTTGAGTGAGACTTCAAGTCTTGTGAGACCTATGTGTGTCTTCAAGTCAACTTGTCTTCTGAGACCTACATGTGTCTTGAAGTCAATTTGTCTTCTGAAGTCAACTTGTCTTCTGAAGTGTAACCAGTGGCCCCCCCTGTGGTGGTGTAGCTAGTGGCCCCCCTGTGGTGGTGTAACTAGTGGCTCCCCTGTGTTGGTGTAACCAGTGGCCCCCCCTGTGGTGGTGTAACTAGTGGCCCCCCCTGTGTTGGTGTAACTAGTGGCCCCCCTGTGGTGGTGTAGCTAGTGGCCCCCCCTGTGTTGGTGTAACTAGTGGCCCCCCTGTGGTGGTGTAGCTAGTGGCCCCCCCTGTGTTGGTGTAACTAGTGGCCCCCCTGTGGTGGTGTAGCTAGTGGCCCCCCCTGTGGTGGTGTAGCTAGTGGCCCCCCCTGTGGGGATGTAGCTAGTGGCCCCCCCTGTGGGGATGTAGCTAGTGGCCCCCCTGTGGTGGTGTAACTAGTGGCCCCCCCTGTGGGGATGTAGCTAGTGGCCCCCCCTGTGGGGATGTAGCTAGTGGCCCCCCCTGTGGGGATGTAGCTAGTGGCCCCCCTGTGGGGATGTAGCTAGTGGCCCCCCCCTGTGGGGATGTAGCTAGTGGCTCCCCTGTGTTGGTGTAACTAGTGGCCCCCCCTGTGGTGGTGTAACTAGTGGCTCCCCTGTGGTGGTGTAACTAGTGGCTCCCCTGTGTTGGTGTAACTAGTGGCTCCCCTGTGGTGGTGTAGCTAGTGGCTCCCCTGTGTTGGTGTAACTAGTGGCTCCCCTGTGGTGGTGTAGCTAGTGGCCCCCCCTGTGGGGGTGTAGCTAGTGGCCCCCCCTGTGGGGATGTAGCTAGTGGCCCCCCTGTGGGGGTGTAGCTAGTGGCCCCCCCTGTGGGGATGTAGCTAGTGGCTCCCCTGTGGTGGTGTAACTAGTGGCCCCCCCCCCCCTGTGGTGGTGTAACTAGTGGCTCCCCTGTGTTGGTGTAACTAGTGGCCCCCCCTGTGTTGGTGTAACTAGTGGCTCCCCTGTGGTGGTGTAGCTAGTGGCTCCCCTGTGTTGGTGTAACTAGTGGCTCCCCTGTGGTGGTGTAGCTAGTGGCCCCCCTGTGTTGGTGTAAGTAGTGGCTCCCCTTTGGTGGTGTAGCCAGTATTGTTTCATGGGGGGAGGATCAAATTTTTTCCATCATTTTATTTACATATTTGTGCTGCTCTAGTCTAAGTGGCTCTGTGTTCCAGGACCCCCAGGATATGGTGCCTCTCATCAACCACATGATCTACATCAACCCTAACCCAGGCAGTCCAGTCACATGGCCATTTGAAAGATATCTCAGTGTTCTCTCAGCATTGTATGTTGCTGGCTTTCACAGGTAAATTGTGCAGGTGGCTTTCATAGGTGTGTTGTGTGGGTGGATATCACAGGTGTGTTGTGGGGGTGGATGTCACAGGTGTTGTGTGGGTGGATGTCACAGGTGTGTTGTGTGGGTGGATGTCACAGGTGTTGTGTGGGTGGATGTCACAGGTGTGTTGTGGGGGTGGATGTCACAGGTGTTGTGTGGGTGGATGTCACAGGTGTGTTGTGGGGGTGGATGTCACAGGTGTTGTGTGGGTGGATGTCACAGGTGTGTTGTGTGGGTGGATGTCACAGGTGTTGTGTGGGTGGATGTCACAGGTGTGTTGTGTGGGTGGATGTCACAGGTGTGTTGTGGGGGTGGATGTCACAGGTGTTGTGTGGGTGGATGTCACAGGTGTGTTGTGTGGGTGGATGTCACAGGTGTTGTGTGGGTGGATGTCACAGGTGTGTTGTGTGGGTGGATGTCACAGGTGTGTTGTGGGGGTGGATGTCACAGGTGTTGTGTGGGTGGATGTCACAGGTGTGTTGTGTGGGTGGATGTCACAGGTGTTGTGTGGGTGGATGTCACAGGTGTGTTGTGTGGGGGAGATTCCACAGGTGTGTTGTGTGGGTGGATGTCACAGGTGTGTTGTGTGGGTGGATGTCACAGGTGTTGTGTGGGTGGATGTCACAGGTGTGTTGTGTGGGTGGATGTCACAGGTGTGTTGTGTGGGGGAGATTCCACAGGTGTGTTGTGTGGGTGGATTCCACAGGGGTGTTGTGTGGGTGGATGTCACAGGTGTGTTGTGTGGGTGGATATCACAGGTGTGTTGTGTGGGTGGATGTCACAGGTGTGTTGTGTGGGTGGATATCACAGGTGTGTTGTGTGGGTGGATATCACAGGTGTGTTGTGGGGGTGGATGTCACAGGTGTGTTGTGTGGGTGGATGTCACAGGGGTGTTGTGTGGGTGGATTCCACAGGTGTGTTGTGTGGGTGGATGTCACAGGTGTGTTGTGTGGGTGGATGTCACAGGTGTGTTGTGTGGGTGGATGTCACAGGTGTGTTGTTTGGGTGGATGTCACAGGTGTGTTGTGTGGGTGGATGTCACAGGTGTGTTGTGTGGGTGGATGTCACAGGTGTGTTGTTTGGGTGGATGTCACAGGTGTGTTGTGTGGGTGGATGTCACAGGTGTGTTGTGTGGGTGGATGTCACAGGTGTGTTGTTTGGGTGGATGTCACAGGTGTGTTGTTTGGGTGGATGTCACAGGTGTTGTGTGGGTGGATGTCACAGGTGTGTTGTGTGGGTGGATTCCACAGGTGTGTAGTGTGTACAATAGCAATGTGCTTGAAACATTATCTTCCAAGAAAATAATATTATATTTTTAAAAAAATAAATGCTACTGTATTTAGAAACTGAACCAGCACCAAATTATACCTCCCCCCCCTTTCCCCAAGCAGAGTGTATGTGCATGGTGACACAGAACCTTCAGGAGAGTTGTGGGACAAGTTAAAGAAAGAAAATGTCACATTTGTTTATGTAAGTTTTTTCTCCTCCATTTTATAGACTCTTAAACATTGATATGATGTAAAAAAAAAAGTATTTTATTTCTTTCTTGTATACAAAGTATGCAGGAAATATTGTAATCGTGCACAAAACTCTCTCGCAATTTTGACAGTTTTCACCATTTTATCATACAGGGAATAAATGGAACTTCAGTTTCTGAAAAGCCAATAACTGAGTACAATTTATGTTAAGTGGAAGTAATTTCAGAACTCAGTAACACATTGTAAGTGCATGTCTCTCTCAAACAATTTCTGGTAAGTGGAAGTAATTTGAGAACTCAGTAACACATTGTAAGTGCATGTCTCTCTCAAACAATTTCTGGTAAGTGGAAGTAATTTCAGAACTCAGTAACACATTGTAAGTGCATGTCTCTCTCAAACAATTTCTGGTAAGTGGAAGTAATTTGAGAACTCAGTAACACATTGTAAGTGCATGTCTCTCTCAAACAATTTATGTTAAGTGGAAGTAATTTCAGAACTCAGTAACACATTGTAAGTGCATGTCTCTCTCAAACAATTTCTGGTAAGTGGAAGTAATTTGAGAACTCAGTAACACATTGTAAGTGCATGTCTCTCTCAAACAATTTATGTTAAGTGGAAGTAATTTCAGAACTCAGTAACACATTGTAAGTGCATGTCTCTCTCAAACAATTTCTGGTAAGTGGAAGTAATTTGAGAACTCAGTAACACATTGTAAGTGCATGTCTCTCTCAAACAATTTATGTTAATAGGAAGTAATTTCAGAACTCAGTAACACATTGTAAGTGCATGTCTCTCTCAAACAATTTCTGGTAAGTGGAAGTAATTTCAGAACTCAGTAACACATTGTAAGTGCATGTCTCTCTCAAACAATTTATGTTAAGTGGAAGTAATTTCAGAACTCAGTAACACATTGTAAGTGCATGTCTCTCTCAAACAATTTCTGGTAAGTGGAAGTAATTTCAGAACTCAGTAACACATTGTAAGTGCATGTCTCTCTCAAACAATTTATGTTAAGTGGAAGTAATTTGAGAACTCAGTAACACATTGTAAGTGCATGTCTCTCTCAAACAATTTATGTTAAGTGGAAGTAATTTCAGAACTCAGTAACACATTGTAAGTGCATGTCTCTCTCAAACAATTTCTGGTAAGTGGAAGTAATTTCAGAACTCAGTAACACATTGTAAGTGCATGTCTCTCTCAAACAATTTATGTTAAGTGGAAGTAATTTCAGAACTCAGTAACACATTGTAAGTGCATGTCTCTCTCAAACAATTTCTGGTAAGTGGAAGTAATTTCAGAACTCAGTAACACATTGTAAGTGCATGTCTCTCTCAAACAATTTCTGGTAAGTGGAAGTAATTTCAGAACTCAGTAACACATTGTAAGTGCATGTCTCTCTCAAACAATTTCTGGTAAGTGGAAGTAATTTGAGAACTCAGTAACACATTGTAAGTGCATGTCTCTCTCAAACAATTTCTGGTAAGTGGAAGTAATTTGAGAACTCAGTAACACATTGTAAGTGCATGTCTCTCTCAAACAATTTCTGGTAAGTGGAAGTAATTTCAGAACTCAGTAACACATTGTAAGTGCATGTCTCTCTCAAACAATTTATGTTAAGTGGAAGTAATTTGAGAACTCAGTAACACATTGTAAGTGCATGTCTCTCTCAAACAATTTATGTTAAGTGGAAGTAATTTGAGAACTCAGTAACACATTGTAAGTGCATGTCTCTCTCAAACAATTTCTGGTAAGTGGAAGTAATTTCAGAACTCAGTAACACATTGTAAGTGCATGTCTCTCTCAAACAATTTCTGGTAAGTGGAAGTAATTTGAGAACTCAGTAACACATTGTAAGTGCATGTCTCTCTCAAACAATTTATGTTAAGTGGAAGTAATTTGAGAACTCAGTAACACATTGTAAGTGCATGTCTCTCTCAAACAATTTCTGGTAAGTGGAAGTACTTTCAGAACTCAGTAACACATTGTAAGTGCATGTCTCTCTCAAACAATTTCTGGTAAGTGGAAGTAATTTGAGAACTCAGTAACACATTGTAAGTGCATGTCTCTCTCAAACAATTTCTGGTAAGTGGAAGTAATTTCAGAACTCAGTAACACATTGTAAGTGCATGTCTCTCTCAAACAATTTCTGGTAAGTGGAAGTAATTTCAGAACTCAGTAACACATTGTAAGTGCATGTCTCTCTCAAACAATTTCTGGTAAGTGGAAGTAATTTCAGAACTCAGTAACACATTGTAAGTGCATGTCTCTCTCAAACAATTTCTGGTAAGTGGAAGTAATTTCAGAACTCAGTAACACATTGTAAGTGCATGTCTCTCTCAAACAATTTCTGGTAAGTGGAAGTAATTTCAGAACTCAGTAACACATTGTAAGTGCATGTCTCTCTCAAACAATTTCTGGTAAGTGGAAGTAATTTCAGAACTCAGTAACACATTGTAAGTGCAGGTCTCTCTCAAACAATTTCTGGTAAGCCACAGTTGTATTTGACTCCATGTGAAGTCTTTCATTTGAACACTGTTCCCGTAAGTTAGAGGAAATTTCATACATGACTTTAAACTGTGTCCCATTGCTGAAAACAGATTACTTCAACAGGATTAATTTCTTCAAAGTTTTTCATGTAGGTCAAGACTCGATGACAACATACTTTGACAGAATATGTTAATTAATTAGATGTTTAATTAATTTAAAAAAAAAATTAATTATAGTTTCTTTATAAAGCACACATTTTTCTCTGTATTATGCACATAATACACAATTGGTGCACAATAACTTTTTCTACTCTCTGTATTATTTTAAAAATGTAAGTACTAAAAATATTTCTATATCCGGATTGCCATCCCCCTGTTATTAATGAATATACGAGAAAGTTTGGGGGAGACTACTTCCGCTTTATTTTTCAGATTGACCAACCATTTTCTCAGGATTGTGTTCTTATTGTTTCAGATTGACCAACCATGGGCTCAGGATTGTGTTCTTATTGTTTCAGATTGACCAACCATTGGCTCAGGATTGTGTTCTTATGGTTTCAGATTGACCAACCATTGGCTCAGGATTGTGTTCTTATTGTTTCAGATTGACCAATCATTGGCTCAGGATTGTGTTCTTATGGTTTCAGATTGACCAACCATTGGCTCAGGATTGTGTTCTTATGGTTTCAGATTGACCAACCATTGGCTCAGGATTGTGTTCTTATGGTTTCAGATTGACCAATCATTGGCTCAGGATTGTGTTCTTATGGTTTCAGATTGACCAACCATTGGCTCAGGATTGTGTTCTTATTGTTTCAGATTGACCAATCATTGGCTCAGGATTGTGTTCTTATGGTTTCAGATTGACCAACCATTGGCTCAGGATTGTGTTCTTATGGTTTCAGATTGACCAACCATTGGCTCAGGATTGTGTTCTTATGGTTTCAGATTGACCAACCATTGGCTCAGGATTGTGTTCTTATTGTTTCAGATTGACCAACCGTATGCTGTATTTCAACAAGAGGTTAACGTTATGGAACACAAGTCAGATATTCTTAGAATCCAGATCCTCTACAAGTATGGAGGGGCGTACAATGTAGGTTTTCAATGTTTTCAGCTTTAAAAAAAATATTTTGGTTTAATTTTGATTGTAACTTTCTTATGTTGTGACACAAATGATGCTCTTGTTCATGCTAAATGTAACAAATAAATGATCTATTGACATTTTATAGAGTAGTTGAAGTAGAGTTTGTCTGTTTTGCGCTAAGCTTAGCAGAATTAAAAAATACTCTAATAAGGAAGACAAAAATAAAAAAGTAAATTTTGAAAATTAGCACACAAAAAATAAATTTTACCAGTTTATTTTTTTACTTGTGTGTTCAATATATCAGTCCATGTTTTGACAAACTAGGTTTATCTTTAGTTCTGTTTTCAATTGTTGGATTGTATAAGTAGAATGAGAAACGTATTCTAAACCAATCTTATTAACTTATGTGCTAAGGAATTTGGTCCTAGATTGCTAATGAATGTACCTGTTGCTAAAGGACAATGATGTCATCTGGGTCAAGCCACTGAGTGAGGAGCAGAGAAAATATCCGTCCATAGCCTGCTATGAGTGGTCAGAGGATGAGGTCTGGCCTGGGAAAATTAACAGTGGCTTGATTGTCTCCAAGCCTAAAGCTCTCTTCTTGATCAAAGTCCTGGAATCTTTCTGGTAAGTTCTAGAGCTAGGTCAGATAGGCACACTCTGGTTATAAGTGGTGACATTTCTATTGGATAATCTCATACATTGGCAAACTCAGGTTATAAGTGGTGACATATCTATTGGATAAACTCATACGCTATTCTTTTTGTTAGGGGAAGTGCAAGCCAAGACGCTACAACCGTTTTTATTGGTGGATATTTTTAGGCTCAGTTGTCAGACAAAGGTGTGGATTGTAGGGGGGGGGGGGGGGGGGAATGGCTGTGGTTTTCAAGCAGCTGCCATGGTAGCTAGTCTAGCCCTTACCTGAAGTGAGACACCTAGCCCAATGAGGTTCAGCTGACCATGAAGACCACCTCATATTAGTGAGACACCTAGCCCAATGAGGTTCATGAAGACCACCTCATATTAGTGAGACACCTAGCCCAATGAGGTTCAGCTGACCATGAAGACCACCTCATATTAGTGAGACACCTAGCCCAATGAGGTTCATGAAGACCACCTCATATTAGTGAGACACCTAGCCCAATGAGGTTCAGCTGACCATGAAGACCACCTCATATTAGTGAGACACCTAGCCCAATGAGGTTCAGCTGACCATGAAGACCACCTCATATTAGTGAGACACCTAGCCCTATGAGGTTCATGAAGACCACCTCATATTAGTGAGACACCTAGACCAATGAAGTTCATGAAGACCACCTCATATTAGTGAGACACCTAGCCCAATGAGGTTGTGCTGACCATGAAGACCACCTCATATTAGTGAGACACCTAGCCCAATGAGGTTCATGAAGACCACCTCATATTAGTGAGACACCTAGCCCAATGAGGTTCATGAAGACCACCTCATATTAGTGAGACACCTAGCCCAATGAGGTTCATGAAGACCACCTCATATTAGTGAGACACCTAGCCCTATGAGGTTCATGAAGACCACCTCAAATTAGTGAGACACCTAGCCCAATGAGGTTCATGAAGACCACCTCATATTAGTGAGACACCTAGCCCAATGAGGTTGTGCTGACCATGAAGACCACCTCATATTAGTGAGACACCTAGCCCAATGAGGTTCATGAAGACCACCTCATATTAGTGAGACACCTAGCCCAATGAGGTTGTGCTGACCATGAAGACCACCTCATATTAGTGAGACACCTAGCCCTATGAGGTTCATGAAGACCACCTCATATTAGTGAGACACCTAGCCCAATGAGGTTGTGCTGACCATGAAGACCACTTCATATTAGTGAGACACCTAGCCCATTGAGGTTCATGAAGACCACCTCATATTAGTTAGACACCTAGCCCAATGAGGTTCATGAAGACCACCTCATATTAGTTAGACACCTAGCCCAATGAGGTTCAGCTGACCATGAAGACCACCTCATATTAGTGAGACACCTAGCCCAATGAGGTTCATGAAGACCACCTCATATTAGTAAGACACCTAGCCCAATGAGGTTGTGCTGACCATGAAGACCACTTCATATTAGTGAGACACCTAGCCCAATGAGGTTCATGAAGACCACCTCATATTAGTGAGACACCTAGCCCAATGAGGTTGTGCTGACCATGAAGACCACCTCATATCAGTGAGACACCTAGCCCAATGAGGTTCAGCTGACCATGAAGACCACCTCATATTAGTGAGACACCTAGCCCAATGAGGTTCAGCTGACCATGAAGACCACCTCATATTAGTGAGACACCTAGCCCAATGAGGTTCATGAAGACCACCTCATATTAGTGAGACACCTAGCCCAATGAGGTTGTGCTGACCATGAAGACCACCTCAAATTATCAAAATTATGAAGTTCTTAAACTACTGCATGTGTATTTTGTAACTGACACATAATTAAAAATGAAACTGTTATTAGTGTTATGTTAAAAAAAATTTTATTTTAGTCTAAAATTAAATGCTAAAGTTGGAATTAATAATTATATCTTCATGATTGTATGCAGGTATTATCGTGATGACATATGGGCAATGAATGTGGTTTATATGTTCTACAAGATATACGAGAGAAACCCGGAATGTCTGCATATTGACACCAGATTACAGGTTTGTCTACAAGTTCAAATGGCAGAATATTTAGTTCAAATGGCAGAATATTTAGTTCAAATGTTCAGACAACTTGCTCTATAATTAGAAAAACTTGGGCTAGTTTCAAATGTTCAGACAACTTGCTCTATAATTAGAAAAACTTGGGCTAGTTTCAAATGTTCAAATAACTTGCTCTACAATTAGAAAAACTTGGACTAGTTTCAAATGTTCAGATAACTTGCTCTACAATTAGAAAAACTTGGGCTAGTTTCAAATGTTCAAATAACTTGCTCTACAATTAGAAAAACTTGGGCTAGTTTCAAATGTTCAAATAACTTGCTTTACAATTAGAAAAACTTGGGCTAGTTTCAAATGTTCAGACAACTTGTTCTATAATTAGCAAAACTTGGGCTAGTTTCAAATGTTCAGACAACTTGCTCTACAATTAGAAAAACTTGGACTAGTTTCAAATGTTCAGACAACTTGCTCTACAATTAGAAAAACTTGGGCTAGTTTCAAATGTTCAAATAACATGCTCTACAATTAGAAAAACTTGGGCTAGTTTCAAATGTTCAAATAACTTGCTCTACAATTAGAAAAACTTGGACTAGTTTCAAATGTTCAAATAACTTGCTCTACAATTAGAAAAACTTGGGCTAGTTTCAAATGTTCAAATAACTTGCTCTACAATTAGAAAAACTTGGACTAGTTTCAAATGTTCAGATAACTTGCTCTACAATTAGAAAAACTTGGGCTAGTTTCAAATGGTCAAATAACTTGCTCTACCACAAGTAGAAAAACTTGGGCTAGTTTTAAATGTTCAGATAACTTGCTCTACAATTAGAAAAACTTGGGCTAGTTTCAAATGTTCAGATAACTTGCTCTACAATAAGAAAAACTTGGGCTAGTTTCAAATGTTCAGACAACTTGCTCTACAATTAGAAAAACTTGGGCTAGTTTCAAATGTTCAGACAACTTGCTCTATAATTAGAAAAACTTGGGCTAGTTTCAAATGTTCAAATAACATGCTCTACAATTAGAAAAACTTGGGCTAGTTTCAAATGTTCAAATAACTTGCTCTACAATTAGAAAAACTTGGGCTAGTTTCAAATGTTCAAATAACTTGCTCTACAATTAGAAAAACTTGGACTAGTTTCAAATGTTCAGATAACTTGCTCTACAATTAAAAAAACTTGGGCTAGTTTCAAATGGTCAAATAACTTGCTCTACCACAAGTAGAAAAACTTGGGCTAGTTTTAAATGTTCAGATAACTTGCTCTACAATTAGAAAAACTTGGGCTAGTTTCAAATGTTCAGATAACTTGCTCTACAATAAGAAAAACTTGGGCTAGTTTCAAATGTTCAGACAACTTGCTCTACAATTAGAAAAACTTGGGCTAGTTTCAAATGTTCAGACAACTTACTCTATAATTAGAAAAACTTGGGCTAGTTTCAAATGTTCAGACAACTTGCTCTACAATTAGAAAAACTTGGGCTAGTTTCAAATGTTCAGACAACTTGCTCTACAATAAGAAAAACTTGGGCTAGTTTCAAATGGTCAAATAACATGCTCTACAATTAGAAAAACTTGGGCTAGTTTCAAATGTTCAGACAACTTGCTCTACAATTAGAAAAATTTGGGCTAGTTTCAAATGTTTGTAGTCCAGGCTCTATCACAGATTTACATTTGAAAGGTCAATGACCTGTGCAACTGAAAAATAGGACTGAAGTTTTTTTATTTATATCATAAATACTTGTGTCTGTGTTTGGTGTTAGAAGGGCATATGCCATGCTGTCTGTCCTTATACTCTCCAGGTGTGTTGCTACAAAGGCATATGCCATCCTGCCTGGCACCCAGATTTTATACGGCCCTATGGGGATCTGACCCCCACAAAGCGTATCAACATCGAGGAAGTCAATGGTTTGTGTAGATTACAATGATACATTGTTCCTACTTATTTCATTGTTCCTACTTATTTTGGTCAGTAGAATGACTTGACCACCATTATTTACATCAGGACTGTCCATTTGCTTCCATAGTCTCAAAGATTGCATGACATAAATTAGTGATCTGAAATCACATAAAAAATATTGGATTCATTTGTACTTTTCTCTAGGTCTTGAGGCTAAAGATTTTTTTAAAATAATTGTCTTTCAGCTTTTCATTTCTTCCATCATGATGCTCCTTCAACCTTCACCTCATTCTCTGCTCTAGAGGAAAAAACCAGCCTAGAGGCTCTCCTGGCCAATCGCGTGAAGGCAGCCATACTGAGGGCAGGGAAGCCTCATTTGTTAGAGCTGAGTGGCCACAGAAAAGCTCAGGCTAGGGATACAGATTTGCCTTTTTGAACACTTTGTTTTTAATTAGAAACTATTTGTTAAGTTTGGTTGTGTGTATACATCATGTATTAAATGAGCCCTTAAGTTGTCAGACTAGTCCTGGGACTTCATGTCCTCTCTTCACAGTTCAGTTTGGTTTTTGTCCTCTCAAGTTACACGTCCACAGTCAATTCCAGGGTGGGGCAGGGGTGTGGACTGGCTGTGTGAGGGTGGGGCAGGGGTGTGGACTGGCTGTGTGAGGGTGGGGCAGGGGTGTGGACTGGCTGTGTGAGGGGGGGTGGGGGCAGGGGTGTGGACTGGCCATGTGAGGGTGGGGCAGGGGTGTGGACTGTCCATGTGAGGGTGGGGCAGGGGTGTGGACTGGCTGTGTGAGGGGGGGTGGGGGCAGGGGTGTGGACTGGCCATGTGAGGGTGGGGCAGGGGTGTGGACGCCGTGTGAGGGTGGGGCAGGGATGTGGACTGGCTGTGTGAGGGGGGGTGGGGGCAGGGGTGTGGACTGGCTGTGTGAGGGTGGGGCAGGGGTGTGGACTGGCTGTGTGAGGGGGGATGGGGGCAGGGGTGTGGACTGGCCATGTGAGGGTGGGGCAGGGGTGTGGACTGGCCGTGTGAGGGTGGGGCAGGGATGTGGACTGGCTGTGTGAGGGTGGGGCAGGGGTGTGGACTGGCTGTGTGAGGGGGGGTGGGGGCAGGGGTGTGGACTGGCCATGTGAGGGTGGGGCAGGGGTGTGGACTGGCCATGTGAGGGTGGGGCAGGGGTGTGGACTGGCCATGTGAGGGTGGGGCAGGGATGTGGACTGGCTGTGTGAGGGTGGGGCAGGGGTGTGGACTGGCTGTATGAGGGTGGGGCAGGGGTGTGGACTGTCCATGTGGGGCAGGGGTGTGGACTGGCAATGTGAGGGTGGGGCAGGGGTGTGGACTGGCCGTGTGAGGGTGGGGCAGGGGTGTGGACTGGCCATGTGAGGGTGGGGCAGGGGTGTGGACTGGCCGTGTGAGGGTGGGGCAGGGATGTGGACTGGCTGTGTGAGGGTGGGGCAGGGGTGTGGACACGGGCTTGTGTCAGGTTTGGTGGGGGTGTGGACACGGGCTTGTGTCAGGTTTGGTGGGGGTGTGGACACGGGCTTGTGTCAGGTCAGGTTTGGCGGGGGTGTGGACACGGGCTTGTGTCAGGGCGGGGGTGTGGACACGGGCTTGTGTCAGGTTTGGTGGGGGTGTGGACACGGGCTTGTGTCAGGTTTGGTGGGGGTGTGGACATGGGCTTGTGTCAGGTTTGGTGGGGGTGTGGACACGGGCTTGTGTCAGGTTTGGTGGGGGTGTGGACACGGGCTTGTGTCAGGTCAGGTTTGGCGGGGGTGTGGACACGGGCTTGTGTCAGGGCGGGGGTGTGGACACGGGCTTGTGTCAGGTTTGGTGGGGGTGTGGACACGGGCTTGTGTCAGGTTTGGTGGGGGTGTGGACACGGGCTTGTGTCAGGTCAGGTTTGGCGGGGGTGTGGACACGGGCTTGTGTCAGGGCGGGGGTGTGGACACGGGCTTGTGTCAGGTTTGGTGGGAGTGTGGACACGGGCTTGTGTCAGGTTTGGTGGGGGTGTGGACACGGGCTTGTGTCAGGTTTGGTGGGAGTGTGGACACGGGCTTGTGTCAGGTTTGGTGGGGGTGTGGACACGGGCTTGTGTCAGGTTTGCTGGGGGTGTGGACACGGGCTTGTGTCAGGGCAGGTTTGGCGGGGGTGTGGACACGGGCTTATGTCAGGTTTGCTGGGGGTGTGGACACGGGCTTGTGTCAGGGCGGGGGTGTGGACACGGGCTTGTGTCAGGGCAGGTTTGGCGGGGGTGTGGACACGGGCTTGTGTCAGGTTTGGTGGGAGTGTGGACACGGGCTTGTGTCAGGTCAGGTTTGGTGGGGGTGTGGACACGGGCTTGTGTCAGGTCAGGTTTGGCGGGGGTGTGGACACGGGCTTGTGTCAGGTTTGGTGGGGGTGTGGACACGGGCTTGTGTCAGGTTTGGTGGGGGTGTGGACACGGGCTTGTGTCAGGTTTGGTGGGGGTGTGGACACGGGCTTGTGTCAGGTTTGGTGGGGGTGTGGACACAAGGTCAGTCAGGTGCACATTGTACGTTATCCGGGTTTTTGCCGGAACATGACCTCGACTTGACCTCAAGTACGGCGACACTGTGCTGTGTCCAATCAACTTTTTTAAAGTCGTCGATTGGATCAGGAAAAGCTAGACGTTGAGGTAAAACCGTGCCATTCCTTTTAATGGTAATTCACCCCCCCCCCCCCCCCCCCCCCTTACCATACGACGCGACAATCCCACCAAATGAAAGTGGTTTTCCAAGAACCCCCAAACCTGTGATCGTCCTTGATTTGTGCGCATAGCCGTCAGTCAGCCACGCCCACACAGAACGGCGACAGGTAGAAGACTGTTGTTGATCAGGTGTAGGTACAACCATCACAACTGTGCTGAGTGCTAACGTACAACCATCACTGCAGCTACTGTGCTGGATGCTAAAGTAAGTGCGCGCGTGGGCTTGTATACATTAGTATTGCTTTAATCTATCTATCGAATTTGCACTTTTATTCTGATAAAAAGGATGAAAAATAACTAGTCTGAAATGAGAAATGATTGAAAGATTTTCTATGTAGAAACCACAAAGTGACATCGATCAGATTTTACCACCAAAAATGACGTCATTAACCAGCCTCGTTGTGGTCATGAGTATGCTGGCAGTTCCAGTAACTTCTGGTTAGTCATTTGTTCTTAGAGAATTTTTTTGTCGTGTTAGTACTCGTTGTTCTTGTGGTTAGTTAGCCACTACTCCTCAGTTTAAAATTTTACCTAATCTGACTTACTAACCTTACTTAGCCGCCGAAACCGACTAGGTGCCAGACTAACGTTGAGAATTGCTAAACTGGCTGTGCTTGGAACTAACCAAACTGTCTTAATATAATCTTGTCACATATCATAAATAGATGAACTCCATTTTCTTTAATGACCGACTCGTCCAAAATGGTAACTTTACTTTTTACAAGGCTTTATTTAACTTGCTTCCTCTGTCTGTCGTCAGTCTGCCTTTCGTCAGTCTGTCGTCGTAGATCGAAACGGGCGAGCGAAATTTCGGGCACTTCTAACCAACAGATTCATTTCAAAGTTGGCACGTAGATCAATGAAGACAATGCAAATTTAACTTAATTGGATGACTAATTAATTCCGCGCTATTATACGCGCATTAACATGTTTATTTTGGTGTGCAATAAGTTGTAGCCATGCAACTCTATTGTATTAAAAATTAAAGAAAACTGTAAAAATAAATACAGAAAAAACGTTTTAATAAAAACAAGCTTTTACCTAATAATTTTTGGTGCTGAGACTAAAATAATTACATAATTAGCATGCAATGCGGTAATTAAAACACATATATTTTAAATACTGTCTTATATTTATTTTATACACTGAACGTACTGTTTACTAAATATTATTTGTAATCAAACACAGTTAAGAAGCCGCTCCTAAAAATCCTCTATGTTTACTTCTATCTTTCCGTTTGTGGATAAGCGTGGGGTATTATAGTCGTTCACTATATTGAATCAGGCGCGTCCGCCAGCGCCCCCACAGGGTTCGATTTGGCGCCCTGGGCTATTCTGTGAGCGCTATGGTGCATAATTTCGTTTTAAACAGTACAGTAGACTATTGATAAGAAAGGTTACTATAGTGTTTAACTGAATCGAATCTGGGCGTCCTCCGTTGCCCCTACAGGGTGCTATTTGGCGCTCCGGGCCTTCGCGTGTTCGCTGTGGCGCCTAGTTCGTTTAAGTAAGTGCTAAAGACTATGAATAAGTTGGGGTACTTAAGTCGTTTACTAAGTTAATCAGGCGGTTCCGCCGGTGCCCCTGCATGGTGCGATTTCGCGCCCCGGGCTAGACTGTGAGCTCTTTCCGTTTATGTTTGCATTTGTTATGTGTTATTGTTTGCGTTTATTTGCATTATTTTGAGTTATTGTTTGAATTTAGGTTTGCGTTTGTGTTTTCTTTGGGTTTGTGGTTGGGTTGCGTTTGTGTTTTCGTTTATATTTTTGTTTGTGCTGCGTTTGCGTTTTTTGTTTTGGTTTTGGTTGGTTGTGGTTAGAGTTAATTTGAAAAATAATATATTTCCTAAACCCGGGCAATGCCGGATATATGCTGCTTAATAAACACACAAGTCATGGTCCTTTACAGATAGCTTTTCACAGAGGCTAGTGCAGGGTCTGATAATATAGTGACCTGTTGGTGTCATTAACAGTTTCTTATGTGTATGAACTTTTAATCAGCTCCATAGGGACAGTAGACAGTTCCATATGCACAGTAGACAGCTACATAGGCACAGTAGACAGTTCCATATGCACAGTAGACAGCTACATAGGGACAGTAGACAGTTACATAGGGACAGTAGACAGCTACATAGGGACAGTAGACAGCTCCATAGGGACAGTAGACAGTTACATAGGGACAGTAGACAGCTACATAGGGACAGTAGACAGCTACATAGGGACAGTAGACAGCTACATAGGGACAGTAGACAGTTCCATAGGGACAGTAGACAGCTACATAGGGACAGTAGACAGCTACATAGGGACAGTAGACAGCTACATAGGGACAGTAGACAGTTCCATAGGGACAGTAGACAGCTACATAGGGACAGTAGACAGCTACATAGGGACAGTAGACAGCTACATAGAGAGAATAGCCAATAGGGTAGAAAAAATAAAATGGGCTTTTAAAAACAAGAAAGTTCGCTGTTGCAATTTTCAAACCAAACCAAAAACTGATTGCAATCTTGGCCAGACATCAAAGCATCCTTCGTTTTGATTTAATCTCGTGCGATCGCTAGTACACGCTAGTCAGTCGCCGTGCGATCGTTGTGTTTGTTACGGTTTGTTACGTCTATTGCAGTGGTTCTTTTGTTGGACGTACCGATCCCCACCAGTCTCAAAGGCGCAGTCACCGAACCCCACAATCTCATAGGCGCAGTCACCGAACCCCACCAGTCTCAAAGGCGCAGTCACCGAACCCTTCTTGATACTTCTATCATCCGCACTGTCAAAATCCAATCGTGAATCGTATATTGAGTGTCTTGACCTCCACCGAACCCCTGAGACTGACTCACCGAACACCAGGGGTTCGATCGAACCCAGGTTAAGAATCACTGGTCAACCGTTTTACGTCTGTTTGTTTTACGTTTGTTTGTTTTACGTCTGTTTGTTTTACGTTTGTTTGTTTTACGTTTGTTTGTTTTACGTTTGTTTGTTTTACGTTTGTTTTACGTTTTTGTTTTTAGATTTACGTTTTTTGCTACATCCATCGTCTATGTTAGAGTCGTCTTTATTAGGTTCGTCTTTATTAGGTTCGTCTTTATTAGGTTCGTCTTTATTAGGTTCGTCTTTATTAGGTTCGTCTTTATTAGGTTCGTCTTTATTAGGTTCGTCTTTATTAGGTTCGTCTTTATTAGGTTCGTCTTTATTAGGTTCGTCTTTATTAGGTTCGTCTTTATTAGGTTCGTCTTTATTAGGTTCGTCTTTATTAGGTTCGTCTTTATTAGGTTCGTCTTTATTAGGTTCGTCTTTATTAGGTTCGTCTTTATTAGGTTCGTCTTTATTAGGTTCGTCTTTATTAGGTTCGTCTTTATTAGGTTCGTCTTTATTAGGTTCGTCTTTATTAGGTTCGTCTTTATTAGGTTCGTCTTTATTAGGTTCGTCTTTATTAGGTTCGTCTTTATTAGGTTCGTCTTTATTAGGTTCGTCTTTATTAGGTTCGTCTTTATTAGGTTCGTCTTTATTAGGTTCGTCTTTATTAGGTTCGTCTTTATTAGGTTCGTCTTTATTAGGTTCGTCTTTATTAGGTTCGTCTTTATTAGGTTCGTCTTTATTAGGTTCGTCTTTATTAGGTTCGTCTTTATTAGGTTCGTCTTTATTAGGTTCGTCTTTATTAGGTTCGTCTTTATTAGGTTCGTCTTTATTAGGTTCGTCTTTATTAGGTTCGTCTTTATTAGGTTCGATTTATTAGGTTCGTCTTTATTAGGTTCGTCTTTATTAGGTTCGTCTTTATTAGGTTCGTCTTTATTAGGTTCGTCTTTATTAGGTTCGTCTTTATTAGGTTCGTCTATATTAGGTTCGTCTATATTAGGGTCGTCTATGTTAGGTTCGTATTAAAATTACAGCTATTAATGTGAAACTATTGTCTTATGTTACTTTCGTTATATTTATCACCCCCCCCCCCCCCCCTACACGGATGTGTTGTGTTCATCCCATATGTTGGTATATGTTACGTTCATCCCATATGTTGGTATATGTTACGTTCATCCCATATGTTGGCATATGTTACGTTCATCTTGTCTTTACCCGGTTGTTATGGGGGTGGTGACGAGGGGGGGGGGGGGGGGTGGTACGTTTAAATTCGAGACCGCCCTAGGCAGAGATAGGTATCTGGGGTTTGAGATATCTACGTCACCGCCGGGCCTTTCCCTAAGTGGGAAAACAACTGGTTATTCCTGAGACCGAGGTCAAGGTCACTGTTGATGTCCGGGAGGGTCGTCCTGTATGACGTCACAGTTTCCACCTGTCTACTGGTACACCAAAGGTCACAGTTTCCTTTAGCTGCGGTTCGTTGGTTTGATGTGACGTCACAGATTAGGAGATTCGATAAATGCATGTAGCACAACACTCGACACTAACTATGCATACATTCATGGAAATAAAACTCTAGTAAAAAGCTAGGACTACTCAACAAATCTTGCGCACACTAGATAAATGGCACGATGACGGAGAAATACAACGGGCGCTATGTTGATAGTTGCCCTTTTCTCTTAACCAAAGTCATATAGTATTGACGCTAAATGTAGACTTTGCCACACATATAGTATTGACGCTAAATGTAGACTTTGCCACACATATAGTATTGACGCTAAATGTAGACTTTGCCACACATATAGTATTGACGCTAAATGTAGACTTTGCCACACATATAGTATTGACGCTAAATGTAGACTTTGCCACACATATAGTATTGACGCTAAATGTAGACTTTGCCACACATATAGTATTGACGCTAAATGTAGACTTTGCCACACATATAGTATTGACGCTAAATGTAGACTTTATCACACATATAGTATTGACGCTAAATGTAGACTTTGTCACACATATAGTATTGACGCTAAATGTAGACTTTGTCACACATATAGTATTGACGCTAAATGTAGACTTTGCCACACATATAGTATTGACGCTAAATGTAGACTTTGCCACACATATAGTATTGACGCTAAATGTAGACTTTGCCACACATATAGTATTGACGCTAAATGTAGACTTTGCCACACATATAGTATTGACGCTAAATGTAGACTTTGCCACACATATAGTATTGACGCTAAATGTAGACTTTGCCACACATATAGTATTGACGCTAAATGTAGACTTTGGCACAATATTTTATCAGGTAACTTTGATCTACTCGTAGTTACTGCACATTCATAGAAAATAGAGTTTCTTTCTAGCAACCCTGTCGGGGAGTGCCACCCCCCCCCCCCCCCAAGAACGTTTATGCCCCCTCGAATTAAATAGAATTTATATAGCTAATAGATACTTTTACCAGTGTCCGCCCCCTCCCCAAAAAAATTGAGTCAGCCCCCTATTAAGAAGGGTTCGATGAATGCGATTGTTAAGCTGGTGAGGTTCGGTGCCTCCAAAAAGGTTTCCAACCACTGTGCTAGGGGAGTGGTCCGAGTCTAGTTTTAGGCTGGTTGAAGTAAAAGTAATCAGTAGAGACATTCGTTGGACCTAGTATATCAGTAGAGACATTCGTTGGACCTAGTATATCAGTAGAGACATTCGTTGGACCTAGTATATCAGTAGAGACATTCGTTGGACCTAGTATATCAGTAGAGACATTCGTTGGACCTAGTATATCAGAGCAGTTGAGTTTTAAAACTGATGGACACATACACGCACACATAAACATTACACACATACAAACACACACATACGCAATCATTATTAGACATTTAAGCACACACAAACATTACAACAGTAAGCTTCACACACACAAACATTACAACAGTAAGCTTCACACACACAAGTACACACACACACATTACAACAGTAAGCTTCACACATACAAGTACACACACACACATTACAACAGTAAGCTTCACACACACAAGTACACACACACACATTACAACAGTAAGCTTCACACACACAAGTACACACACACACATTACAACAGTAAGCTTCACACACACAAGTACACACACACACAAGCACACATTCTACGAACACACCACCGACAGTTGAAATGCTCACAAACCTACTTTACACACAACAGACTCAAACTTGAGATCTTGCAATGACCTCCGACCTTTGTTTTTATTGTAGACTGTTCGTCTGGAATACAGAACTGTTTGAACATTTTGATGGACAATGTGGGACAACACGGTGAAGACAGCTCGGCTTTGTGTCAGTGAGTAGCGGCAGTAGGTGGCTTAGACAGGGAGTGGGGGCGGGGGGCTATAACCCCCCCCCATCCCATTGATCAACTAAATGTGTGTGTGTATATATATATATATATATATATATATATATATATATATATATATATATATATATATATATATATATATATATCGTCAAAAAACAAGAAAAAAACACAGGAAAAAGTCACTTACGATTCAAATGCAATGTTAACATTTTAGAAACAAGACTTAAGAGAAGCCAACCAAGCAATAGCCTACGACAAAAAACACACAAAGCACAATAATGCCTGAACTAGATCTAGATACGCAACAAAAGTTGAGGTTGCTCTCTTAATTATCTTAATTATGACAGACACCTGTATGACAGACACCTGTATGACAGAAATCTGTATGACAGACACCTGTATGACAGGCAACTGTATGACAGACACCTGTATGACAGACACCTGTACGACACACACCTGTATGACAGGCACCAGTATGACAGACACCTGTATGACAGACACCTGTATGTGAGACCGATATGACAGACACCTGTATGACAGGCACCTGTATGACAGACACCTGTATGACAGACCAATATGACAGACACTTGTATGACAGACACCTGTATGACAGACACCTGTACGACACACACCTGTATGACAGACACCTGTATGACACACTGATATGACAGACACCTGTATGACAGACACCAATATGACAGACACCTGTATGACAGACACCTGTATGACAGACACCTGTATGACAGACACCTGTATGACAGACACCTGTATGACAGACACATGTATGACAGACACCTGTATGACAGACCAATATGACAGACACTTGTATGACAGACACCTGTATGACAGACACCTGTATGACAGACACCTGTATGTGAGACCGATATGACAGACACCTGTATGACAGGCACCTGTATGACAGACACCTGTATGACAGACACATGTATGACAGACACCTGTATGACAGACCAATATGACAGACACTTGTATGACAGACACCTGTATGACAGACACCTGTACGACACACACCTGTATGACAGACACCTGTATGACAGACACCTGTACGACACACACCTGTATGACAGACACCTGTATGACACACTGATATGACAGACACCTGTATGACAGATACCTGTATGACAGACACCTGTATGACAGACACCTGTATGACAGACACCTGTATGACAGATACCTGTATGACAGACACCTGTATGACAGACACCTGTATGACAGACACCTGTATGACAGGCACCTGTTTGACAGACACCGCTGTATTTGCGTCTGTCACTTTCAACTGACACCTGCTGTTTCCCCAGTGATTTTAACGTGTATGTCAAATGTGTGCTGGACGTCTGTCATCTGACAGAAGCCCAGGCCTCAACTGTAATCAACAAAGCTGAAGAGCAAATGGCTGCCAAAGGTTTAAATTGTAGTAAGTTTGTCTTTCTACCAGAGGTTTATATTGTAGTAAGTTTGTCTTTCTACCAGAGGTTTATATTGTAGTCAGTTTGTCTTTCTACCAGAGGTTTATATTGTAGTCAGTTTGTCTTTCTACCAGAGGTTTATATTGTAGTCAGTTTGTCTTTCTACCAGAGGTTTATATTGTAGTCAGTTTGTCTTTCTACCAGAGGTTTATATTGTAGTCAGTTTGTCTTTCTACCAGAGGTTTATATTGTAGTAAGTTTGTCTTTCTACCAGAGGTTTATATTGTAGTCAGTTTGTCTTTCTACCAGAGGTTTATATTGTAGTAAGTTTGTCTTTCTACCAGAGGTTTATATTGTAGTAAGTTTGTCTTTCTACCAGAGGTTTATATTGTAGTCAGTTTGTCTTTCTACCAGAGGTTTATATTGTAGTAAGTTTGTCTTTCTACCAGAGGTTTATATTGTAGTCAGTTTGTCTTTCTACCAGAGGTTTATATTGTAGTCTGTCTTGCTACCAGAGGTTTATATTGTAGTAAGTTTGTCTTTCTACCAGAGGTTTATATTGTAGTCAGTTTGTCTTTCTACCAGAGGTTTATATTGTAGTAAGTTTGTCTTTCTACCAGAGGTTTATATTGTAGTAAGTTTGTCTTTCTACCAGAGGTTTATATTGTAGTAAGTTTGTCTTTCTACCAGAGGTTTATATTGTAGTCTGTCTTGCTACCAGAGGTTTATATTGTAGTAAGTTTGTCTTTCTACCAGAGGTTTATATTGTAGTCAGTTTGTCTTTCTACCAGAGGTTTATATTGTAGTAAGTTTGTCTTTCTACCAGAGGTTTATATAATAGTAAGTTTGTCTTTCTACCAGAGGTTTATATTGTAGTAAGTTTGTCTTTCTACCAGAGGTTTATATTGTAGTAAGTTTGTCTTTCTACCAGAGGTTTATATTGTAGTCAGTTTGTCTTTCTACCAGAGGTTTATATTGTAGTCAGTTTGTCTTTCTACCAGAGGTTTATATTGTAGTCTGTCTTGCTACCAGAGGTTTATATTGTAGTAAGTTTGTCTTTCTACCAGAGGTTTATATTGTAGTCAGTTTGTCTTTCTACTAGAGGTTTGCTATATATTATTTTTGTCTATAGGTTAACAACTTTTAATATGAATGTGTTACATTGTTTTATTTTTTATTTATTAAATTTCAAACTAATTAACCCAACTAAGAATGAAAGTAATACATTAATTAGAATGAAACTAATTAACCCAAATAAGAATGAAAGTAATCAATCAATTAGAACGTCATGAAACTAATTAAGTAAATTTTATTTTCAGAAGTAGACCTGTCAAAGTTAAATACAAGTAAGTTTTCTATATCATGCTATATCATCATTTGCTATATCATGCTATATCATCATTTGCTATATCATTTTTGCTATATCATGCTATATCATCATTTGCTATATCATTATTTGCTATATCATCATTTGCTATATCATCATTTGCTCGGATTTTAAGAACTTTTAGATTTTCTGAACTATCTCGAAAACGAACGCTTTTTCCACAAACCCACCTTCAATAACAGATCTACATCCATAGCCCGATGGACTGGAAGAGCTATCCCAATACTTACAGATATTTAAGAATATTCGAGAAAGTTTATGGAAGCCCATTCATGCTTTATTAAAGTACACTACCGCCTTGATTCTTTATAACTACAATGCAACTTATACTGATGCCATGAAACTTTGGGAAGTTGTTAACAACACTCCTAGAGAGGCTTCAGCGGGGAAAAATATTTTCAGTTTTGCACGGGCTGCGCCCCGGTGGGTACGATATGACGGTCTGTACTTTCTCGTGAGCGCCATGGCGACTACGTTAGTTTTAAACAGTGCATTAGATGAGGTATTATTTACAGTTCGCTGGGCTGTATTGTAGGTAAACCCGTGCCCCGATAAATATGATCAAAGCGCAGGCATTGTTTTCATTTAAATTACTCAGTTTAAGAAAACAAGGTCACGCGTCTAAGAACACAGAATTGGTAACACATTGATGAAACCCCCCTAATATATTTCGTCAGACTTTCTTCTAGCCCTGCGGTAACGCGCGGGGACGAAAACTCTAGTATATATATGCTAGTATATATATACTAGTACTAGCTGCATCCCGTGCTCCGCCACGGTAAATCTTTTTTAAATGTACCAACTTGGGAACAGAACAAAACTAAACACAACACAAACGAACGCAAAAAAACAAACAAACGAAAAAACAAACATAACACTCATAACATAAACACAATTTAAATGCAATCATAAAGGCATATTGCTCACAGTCTAGCCCGTAGCGCCAAATCGCGCCCTTTCCGAGCGCCGCCGAACGCGTCTGACACAGTGAATGACTATAAAACAGAGGCGTAGCGACCCTTTCCAGCGCCCGGGGAAAAACTTTCGATTTGACTTCCCCCCCCCCCCTCAAACTTTCGATTTGCACCCCCTCTCCTCAAAATTTCAATTTCCACCGCACCCCCTTAAACTTTCGATTTTCACCCTTCCCCCCCCCCCCCCCCCCCCCGTTCAGACTTTCCATTTGCACAACTTTTGATTTGAAATTCCCCCCGCTCAAACTGTTGATTTGCACCCCCCTCAAACTTTCGATTTACACCCTCCCACCGCCCTCAAACTTTCGATTTCCACCAACCCCCCGCAATTTTTTTCCAACCCACTTTGGCGCCCCCTTAGGTCGGCAACCGGGGACATATGTCCCCCCCCCCCCCTCTCTACGCCTCTCCTATAAAAGCCCCAGCAGTATTTAAAATATCCGTGTTTTTCCTACCATATTATATCACTTTATCAATTCACGCATTTTTCCCCAGTACTTTAAATTTTAAAAATTTACAATAGAGTTTCATAACTAAAACCATTGCGCACCCAATGAACGTGATGACGCGTCTATAATAGTGCTGAATAGTTGATTAAAAATTATAAGTAAACATTACATTCAGTGAATAAAATAAATAAAAGATAGCCTTTTATCAATCAATGCTAATTATAATATTCCAACAATAATGTACTCTTACACGTCTGCATAATTTGCATTCACAATTAGCTAATTATATTATTCCAGCAATTATTCCGTCTTGCAGATTCTGCATTCACATTTTTAGCGTGAGTTCAATTTATTTTTAAAATACCTCCCTTGGCAAAATTACTAAACAGTTAAATTAGATTTTTCTAACCTACAGTTATTATGTTATTAAAATATATCCACTTTTTCTAGGAATATTAACGAAAACAATATTTGACATTGATCCTTTTAATATGTTTTAGCAATGTGCGTGTATTTAATATTCTCTTTACGTTATGCAAAATTGTACAAACAGTGGAAATTATAAAATAGCTCTATGTCGTTATATAAACAAACCCAACTCTTTTACTTATAATAAGACACTGCTGTGCACTGAAAAGCACAGCATGGTGCGATGTTTACTTTTATAGTTCCAAAATCTATAGCGATGACAGAAGGAAGGACTGACACACTACTTGCCCGCTTATATTATAGACTAGCTGCATCCCGTGCTCCGCCACGGTAAATCTTTTTTAAATGTACCAACTTGGGAACAGAACAAAACTAAACACAACACAAACGAACGCAAAAAAAAAACAACGAAAAAACAAACACAACACTCATAACATAAACACAATTTAAATGCAATCATAAAGGCAAATTGCTCACAGTCTAGCCCGTAGCGCCAAATCGCGCCCTTTCCGGTGATTTGCAACCCCCTCAAACTTTCGATTTGCACCCCTTCCACCCCCCCCCCCCGCCCTAAAACTTTCGATTTCCACCACCACCCCCCCTCGCAAATTTTTTCCAACCCACTTTGGCGCCCCTTAAGGTCGGCACCCGGGGACATATGCCCCCCCTCGCTTCGCCTCTCCTATAAAACCCGAAAGATAGAATAATAATTAGAAAACAGTATAAATAATAGGCAGTATTTAAAATACCGTGTTTTACCTACACTATTTCACTTTATCCACTCACGCATTTTTTTTTTCCAGTACTTTAAATTTTAAAAATTTACAAAAGAGTTTCATAACTAAAACCATTGCGCACCTAATGAACGTGATGACGCGTCTATAATAGTGCTGAATAGTTGATTAAAAATTATAAGTAATAAACAGTATGGCCTACATTCAGTGAATAAAATAAATAAAAGATTGCCTTTTATCAATCCATGCTAATTATAATTTTCTAACAATAATTTCCTCTTACACATCCGAATAAATTGCATTCACATTTTGCTAATTATATTATTGCAACACTAATTCCTTCTATGACGAACGTATATTTGCATTCACATTTTTTATTAGCGTGAGTTTAATGTATTTTTAAATTACCTCCTTTGTCAAAATTAGAAAAAAAGCGTTAAATTAATTTGATTTTTCTACCGTACTGTTATTATGTTATTAAAATGTATCCACTTTTTCTAGGAATATTAACGAAAACTATATTTAACATTGATCCTTTTAATATGTTTTAGCAATGTGCGTGTATTTAATATTTTCTTTACGTTATGCAAAATTGTACAAACAGTGGAAATTATAAAATAGCTCTATGCCACTATATAAACAAACCCTACTCTTCACTGTGCACCGAAAAGCACTGCGTGGTGCGAATGTTTACATTTATGGTTCTAAAAGCTATAGCGATGACAGAAGGAAGGACTGACACACGCTCAGCCCGCTTACATTATAGATTTATATACTGGTATATATATATGTATATATATATATATATATATATATATATATATATATTATATATATATATATATATATATATATATATATATATATATATATATATATATATATATATATATATATATATATATATATATATATATATATATATACCTCGACCCACAGGTGACATCCAAACGACGGCGGCACCTCACACACCAACTAGTAAGTTGTATTTGTGAATTCCGTTTTATTTCATTTGTCCTCTGTACATGTCATATGTCATTTATCATGTGTATATGTCATTTATCATGTGTACGTGTCATCTGTCTAGCGTGTACCGATGCTGCCATGGTGTGCACCAAGACCTACATCAACAATGTCTTCCTACAAGCAAGTTCCAGCACATTCCAGATCTGTCCGTAAGTCACGGCGTCACTCAAATGTCATTTCAATATCTGATCAAGCGTGACAACAAATCTCATGAAATGTGACAACAAATCTCATGAAATGTGACAACAAATCTCATAAAATGTGACAACAAATCTCATGAAATGTGACAACAAATCTCATGAAATGTGACAATAAATCTCATGAAATGTGACAACAAATCTCATGAAATGTGACAATAAATCTCATGAAATGTGACAACAAATCTCATTAAATGTGACAACAAATCTCATGAAATGTGACAACAAATCTCATGAAATGTGACAACAAATCTCATGAAATGTGACAACAAATCTCATGAAATGTGACAACAAATCTCATGAAATGTGACAACAAATCTCATTAAATGTGACAACAAATCTCATGAAATGTGACAACAAATCTCATGAAATGTGACAACAAATCTCATGAAATGTGACAACAAATCTCATGAAATGTGACAACAAATCTCATGAAATGTGACAAGAAATCTCATCTTTGTTTCAGCTTGGTCAACCAGTACGTGCACTGCCTGGTGTACTCACCATGTGACCTGAGCAGCATCAAAGACATGGTCAGTTTTACACCACGGGTACCACGTGACATTTACCACCAGATCTTGTCAGGTCATTTGGTTGTCAGGTCATTTGGTTGTCAGGTCATTTGGTTGTCAGGTCATTTGGTTGTCAGGTCATTTGGTTGTCAGGTCATTTGGTTGTCGGGTCATTTGGTTGTCGGGTCATTTGGTTGTCGGGTCATTTGGTTGTCGGGTCATTTGGTTGTCGGGTCATTTGGTTGTCGGGTCATTTGGTTGTCGGGTCATTTGGTTGTCAGGTCATTAGGTTGTCAGGTCATTTGGTTGTCAGGTCATTTGGTTGTCGGGTCATTTGGTTGTCATTTGGTTAACATTTGAATGTTATGTTTACATTCTTGTTACAGCTGAAAGTAAAGGTTGAGGCCGAACTTTCAAAGCAAGGAATTTACTGCGGTATGTTTGATATGGTGTGGTGTGTTGATGTGACCTGTTGATTTGCTGTGTTTATTTTTTTTTGGTGTGTCGATGAGTGTGTTGATGTGGTGTGTTGATGTGGTACGTTGTTGTAGTGTGTTGTTGTGGTGTGTTAATGTGGTACGTTGTTGTAGTGTGTTGGTGTGGTGTGTTGGTGTGGTGTGTTGTTGTGGTGTGTTGATGTGGTACGTTGTTGTAGTGTGTTGTGGTGTGTCGATGTAGTGTGTTGATGTGGTACGTTGTTGTGGTGTGTTGATGTGGTACGTTGTTGTAGTGTGTTGGTGTGGTGTGTTGTTGTGATGTGTTGTTTTGGTGTGTCGATGTAGTGTGTTGATGTGGTGTGTTGATGTGGTACGTTGTTGTGGTGTGTTGATGTGGTACGTTGTTGTGGTACGTTGTTGTGGTGTGTTGATGTGGTACGTTGATGTGGTGTGTTGTTGTGGTGTGTTGATGTGGTGTGTTGGTGTAGTGTGTTGTTGTGGTGTGTTGATGTAGTGTGTTGATGTGGTGTGTTGATGTGGTACGTTGTTGTGGTGTATTGGTGTGGTGTGTTGATGTGGTGTGGTGTGTTGATGTGGTACGTTCTTGTGGTGTGTTGTTGTGGTGTGGTGTGTTGATGTGGTGTGTTGATGCGGTGTGTTGATGTGGTGTGTTGTTGTGGTGTGTCGATGTAGTGTGTTGATGTGGTGTGTTGTTGTGGTGTGTTGATGTGGTGTGTTGGTGTGGTGTGTTGATGTGGTGTGTTGATGTGGTACGTTCTTGTGGTACGTTGGTGTGGTGTGTTGATGTGGTGTGTTGATGCGGTACGTTGTTGTGGTGTGTTGTTGTGGTGTGTTGATGTGGTACGTTGTTGTGGTGTGTTGGTGTGGTGTGTTGATGGGGTGTGTTGTTGTGGTGTGTTGATGCGGAGTGTTGGTGTTGTGTGTTGATGTGGTGTGTTGTTGTGGTGTGTCGATGTAGTGTGTTGATGTAGTGTGTTGGTGTGTTGTGTTGATGTGGTGTGTTGATGTGGTACGTTGTTGTGGTGTGTTGGTGTGGAGTGTTGGTGTTGTGTGTTTGACTGTTTATCTTTTCTTTCCTCAGACATTAAGGACCCCCTGTATGGCCGTACGTAGTTTATTTTGACCCACTATATTTACTTTAGTAACGGGTTACTTGAAAGTCATCAGTTCTACCCTATTGAATTGTAATGTAATGTCAGTGGTAAAGAAACTAGGACTCATACTATCTCTTTAAGAGTTTTATATATAGGTTAAGGTCAAGGCCCAAAGTCGGCTCAAGCAACCACTGGCCGGTCATTTTTCGCCCATCACCTTTGATTGACCGGCCTCAACCCGAAATATTTAAACATTTTGGACAATTAGAAGATAATGAGCAGATGAACTATTGATTCAATGATTCATTAAATCAAATGAGAAAAAGTTTCAAACAATTTTTTTGTATCACATTTCAACTTATCACTTGTGACAAGATGAACTATTATGTTGGTTTAAATTTGAATGTGAGCTAAGCTTTCCGTGTACGCTAACCTCCCCATGTCTAACCTCCCCAAGTTTAACCTCCCCGTGTGCCCTAACCTCCCTAGAATATTTCAAGTACACTTTGCAAATAAAAAGCATCCCTAGTCCATAAATACTCCCTCACACATACTCATGCAAAAACTCACACATGTACTCATACACACAAATTCACACACATCCTCATATACACACACACTCAAACGTATAAACTCAAACACACAAATGCATATACTCAAACTTATACACACGCCAACAAACAGTCATACGTACACACATGCACACACACACATCTAAACACATTCCGGGTAGTGCGCGCATTGGCCGGCCACTATTCGAAAAATGCTGTCAATTTTAAAACAATGCGAGCTTTGTCCGCACTTCGGGCTTTGACCCTAATACATACATATATTTGTATATATGTATGTATGAATATATATATACATACTTTTATATATATATATATATAATATGTATATATAGGCCCTAAATTATATATATATATATATATATATATATATTCATATGTATGTACATAAATACATATATATATATTATATCTTATATACTTTTATATATATATATATATATATATATATATATATATATATATATATATATATATATATATATATATATATGCGTATATATTTATATATGTATGTGACTAACACGACCCAAAATAAACCCCCAGGTGAAATAACAACAACGGAGCCATCCTATACACCAAAAAGTAAGTTGTAAATTTTGCCTCATCTGATCTTCTCTTTTAATCAATAAATAACCCGCCCATTTGATAATCCAACTAATCCCTTAATGATCTTTCAATTGATTTAGGTTTGTACCCTGATCGTTCATTCGGTGATCACCAGTACTATAAAGACAGCCAATGGGGCCGTAAGTGCTAATTTTTTCTTACAACGTTGCAGTATTGTTCTAAAGCCGACCCGCTTCAGCATACGCCGCTATTTAGTTGTTTTATTTTCTACTTATCAGTAATTTATTTTTTTTTTAATTCGACACTACCAATGCTGCGATTGAAAATATTTGCTTTACAACACTATCAGTATCAGTAGCTCGTGAAGGACGATTATCCCCCCTCCCGTGAACTCCGCCTTGTTAGTTACCTCCCCTTAGTTTCAAATCGCTTAAAAATTAAAATGTTTCTGCCCCTAATAGCCATCACTAATTCGACCCGGCTCTACGATTGTAAACATTCGGCGTGAACCACACTGGAGAGCGGGAGAAGGGGCGGAATATGGTTAAATAGTCTTCGTGTGTCGTTGTGTCCACGAACAGATTTGTTTATAGAGAGAGTACCATACCGCGCGTTGCTGCGATCTCAGAAAAATTAATCAACATTAAAAAACAAATCATAACGACTTATTGAATGCCCAAGTTGCCTTAAATAATTCACCTAAATTCCGATGATTTGAAGCCATTTATTCATATTATTTTATTTTGGTCGTCCGTCTCATTCATTTCCTGCTCGAAGTGGAAGATCTGCCAGAATTGGAAGATCAGTCAGAATTGGAAGATCTGTCAGAATTGGAAGATCTGTCAGAATTGGTAGATCTGTCAGAATTGGAAGATCTGTCAGAATTGGAAGATCTGTCAGAATTGAAACATTATAATAGGGCTAGAACCCAATAGAAATAAAATTTAAAAAAGGTATCGTTAGAGCTATAGCCAAAACATAATATTGCATAATAAAGAGTTACATTTTTAAACCGCCAACTCTAGTATTGTCTCTTGTATCTAATTGGACGCCATGTTTACTTGATGAGAACAATTTCTTTTCATGTTGAAAAAAAGCATTACTCTTCCGGTTGCATAATTATATATGCGTTTTTAGTTTGGAATGTCTTTTTATTTTTATTGTCGTCTATAAATGAAGTGTAGTTTATACACTCAGTATATCCAAGATATTTTTCTCAACAAAAATACTTATGGTTAAGTGTTACATATATAGTTGAAGATACTGATCTCATAGCCTCGGGAAATTGACAGACAGACCAGCCAATTAAACATCAAACAATATTATTGATAGACAGTGAGAGGGATCGAGAAAGATATATTAATTAACCTAGCCACTATTGACTGGTGAACTAATTAATTAACTAAGCCACTATTGACTGACGAACTTATTACTTAACCTAGCCACTATTGACTGATGAACTAATTAATTATCCTAATTGACTGATGAACTAATTAATTAACCTAATTGACTGATGAACTAATTAATTAATCTAATTGACTGATGAACTAATTAATTAACCTAATTGACTGATGAACTAATTAATTAACCTAATTGACTGATGAACTAATTAATTAACCTAATTGACTGATGAACTAATTAATTAACCTAATCGACTGATGAACTAATTAATTAACCTAATTGACTGATGAACTAATTAATTAACCTAGTTGACTGATGAACGAATTAATTAACCTAATTGACTGATGAACTAATTAATTAACCTAATTGACTGATGAACTAATTAATTAACCTAATTGACTGATGAACTAATTAATTAACCTAATTGACTGATGAACTAATTAATTAACCTAATTGACTGATGAACTAATTAATTAACCTAATTGACGGATGAACTAATTAATTAACCTAATTGACTGATGAACTAATTAATTAACCTAATTGACTGATGAACGAATTAATTAACCTAATTGACTGATGAACTAATTAATTAACCTAATCGACTGATGAACTAATTAATTAACCTAATTGACTGATGAACGAATTAATTAACCTAGTTGACTGATGAACGAATTAATTAACCTAATTGACTGATGAACTAATTAATTAACCTAATTGACTGATGAACTAATTAATTAACCTAGTTGATTGATGAACGAATTAATTAACCTAATTGTCTGATGAACTAATTAATTAACCTAATTGTCTGATGAACGAATTAATTAACCTAATTGTCTGATGAACTAATTAATTAACCTAATTGTCTGATGAACGAATTAATTAACCTAATTAACTGATGAACTAATTAATTAACCTAATTGAGTGATGAACTAATTAATTAACCTAATTAACTGATGAACTAATTAATTAACCTAATTAACTGATGAACTAATTAATTAACCTAATTGAGTGATGAACTTATTGTTTTCAGGAAATTCCGCTCCGTCCTGGAAGTCCCAGCTGACTTTTGTGTTCACGCTGATATTGACCTTGACCTTGGTTTGATATTGACCTTCACCTTGGTGTGACCTAGTTTTTAAACTATCTTCCTGTCCAATGACATCTCATTAAAGCTTTGGTTTTTTTTTTTAGATTAAATTTTTTGAACTTCTGGCCTGAATTGTGTTGAGTGATTTTTTTATTGGATTCTCCAATCATCATTTGTCGACGTCATTAAAGTACCGCTGCCTTGATTCATATATACGCCTCATAGAGCAGAATTAATCAGCATATTCTAGCAGTCGACATACTCCTGACCATAACAACTGTGGTGGTCGAGCTGGAATGGATTAATTTCAATTGGGCTAATTACTTTAACTTTAAGGCTCGAACAAGATAACGAAACTAATTTGTATTTCGGAGAAGCTTACCACTATATATATATAACATGTTTATATAAATATATTTATTTTATCTATGTGTGTATATACGTATGACGATATGTATATATAATATACATAATATATTTATTATATATATACAAATGTGTGTATATATATACATATATATTTGTATACGTATGACGATATGTACATATAATTATATATTTATTTATATATGTTTGTGTATACTTATAACTTTATGAAAGCGAAAGTCCACCTGAATGCCGCAATATTTGGACTTGTCGCACTTGACAACAAAAAAGCTGAGTAATAATTAAGTAGAGGGAGAGAGATAAGGCGAGAATAAGCCCAAATACCTGGTCTGACCGTCTATAACAAGCCCACATGTCTGGTCCGAGATATATATATATATATATATATATATATATATATATATACATATACATATACATATATAAATAAAGCAATGTATGTCTGTGTATGTGTGTATTTTACGCATTACTACACCTCTCATCACATCGCCGTGAAACTTTGGGAAGTTGTAAATATTCTGGGGAGGTTTCTGCGGAAAAAAAATTTCAAATTCGCAAGGGCAGCGCCACGGGAGGGTGCGATTTTTCTCGATATACGGCATATAAAAAAAGAATAAAAGTGAATTGCAGTGACACCGTTCACACGATCGCCATGAAACTTTGGGAAGATGTTGAGAATATTCCTGGGGAGGTTTCTGCGCTAAAAACATTTTCAAATTCGCAGGGTAGCGCCCCGGCAGGGCGCGATTTGTTTTCTCTCAATATATGGTATATAAAAATAAAAGTCGATTGCGGTCTCACAGCGTTTATCCGATAGCCATCAAACTTCAGGGACTTGATTAGAACACTCCAGGGAAGGGTTCTGTAAAAAAAAAAATCATTTTTGTTTTCGCAAGGGCGGCGCCACAGGAGGGTGCGATTTTCTCTATATACGGTATATAAAAATAAACGTCGATTGCGGTTTCGCGGCGTTATTTTGATCGCCATCAAACTTTGGGGAGTTGATTAGAACACTCCAGGGAAGGTTTCTATTAAAAAAATCTTTTTTTTTAGTTTCGCAAGGGCGGTGCCACGGAATTGGGGGATTTTTCTCTATATAGGCCCTACGGTATTTAAAAATAAAAGACGATTGCGGTTCGACACAGTTTATCCCGGTGCCATAAAACTTTAGGGAGTTGATGAATACTCCCGAGAAGGTTTTTGGGGTGGGGTAGGGGGAATTTAATTTTTCATGGGCGGCCCCCCGGCAGGATGCGATTTGGCGCCCTGGTCTTTCCCGTGAGCGCTATGGCGACTACATTTGGTCTAAACATTGTGCTAGACAATGGATAGGATGGGGCGTTAGAAACGCTCACTAAATTGAATCAGGCGTGTCCTCTAGAGCCCTGGTAGGGTACGATTAGGCTGCAAATAAAAATGTCTGTTTCGGCCCCCAAAGGCTCACATGGGCCGCTGAGAGCCATGTTATACGTTTTATTTTAATAATCAGAAAAATTAACCAAGGTTAGATTATTAGCTGGGATGTTTCTTTTTGTCTTTAAAAAAAATCCAAACAGTTTCGTCACTTTGCGAATGATGCAATTAGCATCTATTTTTTAGATAATCCAAACAGAAATTGAGATCGAGAATCTAAGAATAGACCATTATTAACGCTAACATATTGCATCAGTCACACTGATGTTTAAAAAAAAAATTTTTACGTGTTAAATAACAAATCCTGTTCATTTGTGTCACTTAAGTGAATGACGCAATCTGCATCATTGTTATCAGGATGCTATTTTAAGGAGCCAGGGGTCGTACGCCGCGCCTGTGCGGTAGTGTAATCGGGGGGGGGGGGGGGGGGGCTCCGGAGAGCGGGCCTCTACGTCTCTGACACATGGGCGGTCACCGAAGTGTGTTCTACCATATTATTTCGGTGAGTGATTAATGTACACTCAAGGTTTTCATGCGTTAGTGTAGGTAAACCCGTGTCCTGATATTTATGATCCAAGCGCAGGCATTGTTTACATTTAAATAACTCATTTTTAGAAAAGAAGGTCACGCGTCTAAGAACGCGTTGGTGAAATCTTTCTAATATATTTCGTCAAACTTTCTTCTATCCCCGTGGCAACGCGCGGGGGACGGGTACGCTAGTATATATATAGAATTATATATATATATATATATATATATATATATATATATATATATATATATATATATATATATATATATATATATATATATATGTAGCACATATCATGGTTACCACTCAAGGAGGATAAATTATAAGTTATAATTTATTTGGTTGCGGCCCCTGTGGGAGCGCAACTGTTGATGTAGTTTTTACTTTCTCGTATGTTCGAAGTAGGCCTATAGAGAAAGTATTGTAATCGTGCAAAAAAAATCGAGAGTTTTACAAATCTCGACGTTTTACACCTCACTGATACGGAAAAACATAATTTTGCAATCTTGTTCGTATGTCTGTGTATGTGTCTGTGTGTGTGTGTGTGTCTGTCTGTGTTTAAACACGATTACTTGAGTACCGTTACAGCTAGGTTGATGAAATTTCATATATAAGTATTTTATCAAAATCGTAGATCCGTATCAAATTTTGAGCGATTTTCAATAACCGGAAGTGGTACTTTTTCTACTTTGAATTTTTCAAAAGCCTATAACTTGAGTACTATTTCAGATAGATAAATGAAATTTCACATGTAAGTAAAAGATCTGATTCTCTACCTTCTGTCAAATTTTGAATAATTTCCGTTGACCGGAAGTACTAATTTACGCTATTTCCGATTTCTCAAATTTATAAAGTACTAATAATATTGCGCACTATTATGCACATTTTATTAGGCGTTCACTTAGTGTGCAATTCTTTTTTTTACGAGATTCCATTCTATGATAAAAAGTTTAAGTAATTAAAAATGGATTACAAATATTGTCTATGTCCTGAGTTGCCATCCCTCGTAGTTTTATATTAGAATATCCGAGAAAGTTTAGGGGAGATCACTCCCGGTTTATTTTTATTGCTCTTCCGTGAGCGATATTTTTCCCCGTGTTCCATGTCATGTGACCTCTGGGACTCTGGGTAGTTCGTACCTGTGTCCGTGTCATTCAGACCCAAGGCTGCTGTTGACACGGACAGTGCCGTTGTCTATGATAAGTTGATCATGTAGACCTAATGAAGGTAATGTAAATTATGTTTTATATTACTGTACTATTCCTACTAGTGCTGCATGTTGTAGACTAGGTATGAAGTATCTTAGTTAGATTACTTACTTGCACTATTCCTGCTAGTGTTGCTTGTTGTGAACTAGTTGGGTTAAGTATTTACCATTGTAGTACTTATTGGTACTTGTTGGCAGTATTGTATACTGGCCGTAACCTATTTTATGACACCCGTGTATTTCTGTAGCCTCCACATGGTAGTATCTTCAGTGATGTAATCTATTGTTTACATTTGTTTTAGGGCTACTGTCTACATAGCCGTTTATGGCTTGGACATTTATGAACTAGCCGTATACGAAGTTGCAATAAAGCCAGCATCTAACAATCAAAGCATCATTTCGCTGTGTATTTCTCAGGGTCAGCAACGGTAAATCGTTTTTAAATGTACCAACTTGGGAACAGTACAGAATAAAACTAAACACAACACAAACACATACACAAAAGCTGCATACCCGTGCTCCGCCGCGGTAAATATTTTTTTAATGTACCAACTTGGGAACAGAACAACACTAAACACAACACAAACACAACGTCCGCAAACCAAAAGAGAGAATAATAATTAGTAAACAGTACGTTCAGTGTATAAAATAAATTAAAAGGCAGTATTTAAAATATCCGTGTTTTACCTACCATATAGCACTTTATCAATTCATGCATTTTTACTTTCTCGTATATACGAATTATAGAGAAAGTCTTGTAATCGCGCTCGGCTGAATGTCGTGTGCCACCGTGTCAATATTGTAGTGTGCTCCTTAAAAATAACGTAGGTGCCATAGTGCTCACGGGATAGCCCAGGGAGCCCAATCGCAGCATACCATCCCACTAACAAAGCCACTCACTGACCTAACATTTGTTGGAGGCATGTGCAGCAAGAGCTAGCGACAGACCTGGATAAGACCTCTGACGTATGACGATGGAGGCCTTGACGTCATCAGTGCTCACCAAAATCTGGAACAACTGTCACCGCTCTTGTAACCAGAAAGAGAGAGAGAGAGAGAGAGAGAGAGAGAGAGAGAGAGAGAGAGAGAATCAATGGTTTTACGAAATTAATTTTTGTGTGAATGGGGAGGAACTCCATGGGAAGAGTAAGACCCCCCCCCCCCCCCCCCTGGAATCGCCTGTGAACGCCACTAACAAGGCTACCACCAGAGGACAGTTAGGCTACAGTCCGAATACAACCATACACGTGGATGTCTTGACATCCACTGTGTTGACATCCACTGTGTTGACATCCACTATGTTGACATCCACTGGCTTGACATGCACTGTCTTGACATGCACTGTCTTGCCATGCACTGTCTTGACATCCACTGTTTTGACATCCACTATGTTGACATGCACTGTCTTGACATTCACTGTCTTGACATGCACTGTCTTGACATCCACTGTCTTGACATGCACTGTCTTGACATGCACTGTCTTGACATTCACTGTCTTGACATGCACTGTCTTGACATTCACTGTCTTGACATCCACTGTCTTGACATTCACTGTCTTGACATCCACTGTTTTGACATCCAATGTCTTGACATGCACTGTCTTGACATCCACTTTCTTAACATCCACTGTCTTGACATCCACTGTGTCAAAAACCATATACAAGGACTGCCTGCATAATAGTGCTTCGCCACGGTGAATCTTTTCTAAATGTACTAACTTGGGAACAAAACTAAAAGGCAACACAAATGCAAATACAAATACAAACGCAAACACAAACAAACTCAAACAAAAACGCTTTATCAATTGACTTTATCAATTGACTTTATCAACTGACTTTATCAATTGACTTTATCAATTGACTTTATCAATTGACTTTATCAATTGACTCTATCATTATCAAACAAACGTCCGTGTGTTAAAGTTAATTCTATTATGTATTATGCAAATCATCTTACGGTTAATTAAAGGTTATGGAAACATTATATATATATATATATATATATATATATATATATATATATATATATATATTTATTTATTTATTTATTTATTTATTTATTTATTTATTTATATATATATATGGCTTCTATACAAATAGTAATATTTATAACTCACATAAAAGAATTTTAGTATAAAGCTTGTAGGTTTTAATTCCGTTTCGTTTTACATATTATGATATTTAATAGAATTTAATATAATATTTGAACGTTCTTGGTTTTAGTTGTGTTTGTTAAATACTAACTTTAAATTAGCGTAAAATGCCATAAAGACGTAGTTAATCTGACTCACTGTCCTCAACTCATTGTAAAAAAAGTTCAATCACGCTCATTACATAACAAAGCCTAGGATCAAAACAGAAAACCGACAAAGTACAAAGGCTGTCATTGACACAAAACGTAAACACACAATATGGACGGACAAAGCCGACTGAGGAGATGCCGACCAATGGCAAAAATAAATGCAAACACAATGATGAGCCTAAATTTATTTTTTAATAATTTTCCACCGCTTTTTAAAACTAAAAATGTAACACAAGTTGAGGTTACTATGTACATTATCTTACAGTATTTTAACTTATTATTGTTATAAACCATAATGCTTTTACATTTTACAAATATGCTACCGAAAAATTTACCGCGCACATTAATAAAACCCACAATTTTACAATTATGAACAATTAAATCTAAATACTTCTTAGAATACTTTTGTGACTTTTTTTCTGTGACTTTATTTCTGTGACTTTTTTCCGATACAAATTTTCCTTTGTGCCTTTTTTTCTGTGACTTTTTTCCTGTGACTTTTCCGTTTACCGTATAAAAATGCTCTCACGAACGTCTGAGCAATTAGCCCTCATCCCCAACCCGCGATGTACACATACAACTTTTCTTGTGTCGAGAGCCTTTCCCACATTCTCTAATTGAACCAACCGTTTAAATAACACCGAAAACCAAAAATAGTGGATCAATTTTAAACCAACAATTTAAAAAAAAGCAACTATAAAACTCTGTGCCGACTAATCAGGTAATTAAATAAATAATCTTAACATTAATCTGTTTTAATAATGAGCCTTAACATATACTAATCAATGCGGTACGAATTTAAAAAATGGTTTTAACTTAAATAGCAATATTTAGTTTGAGTTGAATTTTTCAAATTACCTACCCTGGCATAATTATTTAAAAATTTAATTAAATAGTTCTATATGACACTAACTGCCATTACAATGTATCCATTTTTTCTAGGAATCTAAGCGAAAATATTATTTGACATTAAACCGTTCAATGTGTTTAGGCAGTCTGCGTGTATTTAATATTTTCTTCGCGTTCTAGTGTTGGCGTATGCAAAAAGTAAAAACTATGGGAACTATGGGTCATACGACCATCTAGCTCACACAGCCACTCATATAACCGCACAAAGCAGGCCATTATGTAGCCTACACTCAAAGTGTGTACATATGTGACATGTGCTGTATGCCACAACGTGTTACGTGTGCTAATGATCTTCTGGAAAGTTACAAAATTCATCGATTGATTGTTTGAACGGTGAGGTTAACGTTAGAGTTTGTGTGAACTGTGGAGACTACGTTAGACAGAGTTCGATTGTGTGAACTGTGGGACTACGTTAGAGTTTGATTGTGTGAACTGTGGAGACTACGTTAGAGTTTGATTGTGTGAACTGTGGGACTACGTTAGAGTTTGATTATGTGAACTGTGGGACTACGTTAGAGTTTGATTTTGTGAACTGTGGGACTACGTTAGAGTTTGATTTTGTGAACTGTGGAGACTACGTTAGACAGAGTTTGATTGTGTGAACTGTTGGACTACGTCAGAGTTTGATTGTGTGAACTGTGGGACTACGTTAGACAGAGTTTGATTGTGTGAACTGTGGGACTACGTCAGAGTTTGATTGTGTGAACTGTGGAGACTACGTTAGAGTTTGATTGTGTGAACTGTGGAGACTACGTTAGACAGATTAGAGGTGACAGGAGCAACTAGCAGACGACACATTTTGTGACGTCTCCACCTGGTGGCCGGCAATTTTGAGCCAGTGAGTTTCAGGTGTGATCAACTGTCACCGCGTGACACTCCACGTGACAGCGTGAGGCTCCAAGTGACCGCGTGACACTCAAGTCTATCCACGTGACTTACAGTGTGCTTTAGCACAACGGCAGAAAAATTTAGACAAGCTTCATCCCAGATCAAATCTTCCTGGTATGTTTTGTGGTAAGTTACAAGTGTGTTGTGTGTGTGTTAACTAGTATGTGTGTAGTGTGTGTTAACTTACATGTGTGTTGTATGTGTGTTAACTTAATGTGTTATGTGTGTATGTGTGTGTTAAGTTACATGTGTGTTGTGTGTTAACATAATGTGTTATGAGTGTGTATTAACTTGTATGTGTGATGTGTGATGTGTGATGTGTGATGTGTGATGTGTGTTAAACATAAAGTATCTAACAGATCGACCCATATTGACCACGTCGTGGGGGGGGGGGGTGGTGTAATGGATCAGTCATGTATTCATTTAAATGTTTACGTCGGGGGTGGGGGGGGAGGTGTAATGGATCAGTCCTGTATTCATTCAAATTTTTACGTCGTGGAGGGGGGGGGTGGTGGTGTAATGGATCAGTCCTGTATTCATTCAAATGTTTTACGTCGGGGTGTGGGGGGGGGGGGAGGTGTAATGGATCAGTCCTGTATTCATTCACATTTTTACGTCGGGGGGGGGGGGGGTGGTGGTGTAATGGATCAGTCCTGTATTCATTCAAATGTTTACGTCGTGGAGGGGGGGGGGGGGTGGTGTAATGGATCAGTCCTGTATTCATTCAAATTTTTACGTCGTGGAGGGGGGAGGTGTAATGGATCAGTCATGTATTCATTCAAATGTTTAGGTCGGGGGGGGGGGTGGTGGTGTAATGGATCAGTCATGTATTCATTCAAATGTTTACGTCGGGGGGGGGGGGGGGGTGTAATGGATCAGTCATGTATTCATTCAAATATTTACGTCGTGGGGGGGGGGGGTGTAATGGATCAGTCATGTATTCATTCAAATATTTACGTCGTGGGGGGGGGGGGGGGGTGGTGTAATGGATCAGTCCTGTATTCATTCAAATGTTTACGTCGTGGGGGGGGGGGGTGTAATGGATCAGTCCTGTATTCATTCAAATATTTACGTCATCATCAGCCCTGTTTAAAGATTACTGTCATGTTCATAACGTAACAAAACAAACGTTTATGTCACGTGACTTCATTTAAAGCAAACCAATTTAATAATTGGCCGTCCCGTTGTTGTGTCTGTTGTTGTTGCTGTTGCTGTTGTTGTTGCTGTTTGTTTTTTGGTCCAGACAAAATATCTTGGACAATCATGTGACCATACGGCTGTGGTGTTATATTCACAATTTTTAAAACCATTTTAAAACCATTTTTTAAAAACCATTTTTTAAACCATTTCTTAAAACTTGATAAGTGTTTAAACTTTTATTATTTTATTGTGTTGTTGCTTTTTATTTAATTAAATTTTGATGAAGAAATCATAATTAACTCTATTCAACGGTATTTTTGTGGTAGTTCAGACCTGGTGACGTCACACTGCACTAACCTCAGCTCTAGGAGCATCAAGTGAACTCACGTGCTGCATGACCTTCCCCAGTTACGTGAGCTGAAACTGCCTGACGTAAGGCATGACGCGACATTACGTGACGTCATCGACGATGTCCGAGGAATCGACCCGACTTCTGGCACCGTCGTCATACTGTGGACACGCCCACTGGCTGATGTACTCAGTGACCTTTCTAGCCACCCTTGGAGGGTTCGTCTTGGGCTACGACATGGGCGTTATGTCCGGTGCCATGCTGTACATCTCTACATACTTTCAGGTTAAATCTCTATGTATGTTGTCACATACATTCCAGTCACATCTCTACATACTTTCAGGTTAAATCTCTATGTATGTTGTCACATACATTCCACTCACATCTCTACATACATTCCAGTCACATCTCTACATACATTCCAGTCACATCTCTACATACTTTCAGGTTAAATCTCTATGTATGTTGTCACAAACTGCAAGATGGATGTATTTGTTTTTGCCAACAGCTGAGCACCTTCTGGCAAGAAGCGATCATCAGCAGCGTCCTAGCAACCGGCGCCATTGCTGCCCTAATTTCCGGTTGGCTGTCGGACAAAATAGGCCGGAAGTTGACCATCATGGTGTCCAGTGTTTTTACTGTTATCGGTGGAGTTGTCATGGCAACAGCTAATTCCAAAGAAATTCTATTAGCAGGCCGTGCGGTGTCGGGTGTTGGAATGGGTACACAAGTTGTGTGGTTAACTCAGTTCATCTTGTGTTGTTAACTCAGTTCATATTCTTGTGTGGTTAACTCAGTTCACTTTGTGTTGTTAACTCAGTTCATCTTGTGTGGTTAACTCACTTCATCTTGTGTGGTTAACTCAGTTCATCTTGTGTGGTTAACTCAGTTCATATTCTTGTGTGGTTAACTCAGTTCACTTTGTGTTGTTAACTCAGTTCATCTTGTGTGGTTAACTCAGTTCATCTTGTGTGGTTAACTCAGTTCATATTCTTGTGTGGTTAACTCAGTTCACTTTGTGTTGTTAACTCAGTTCATCTTGTGTGGTTAACTCACTTCATCTTGTGTGGTTAACTCAGTTCATCTTGTGTGGTTAACTCAGTTCATATTCTTGTGTGGTTAACTCAGTTCATCTAGTGTGGTTAACTCAGTTCATCTTGTTGAGTGGTTAACTCAGTTCATCTTGTGTGGTTAACTCACTTCATCTTGTTGAGTGGTTAACTCACTTCATTTTGTGTGGTTAACTCAGTTCATCTTGTTGTGGTTAACTCAGTTCATCTTGTGTGGTTAACTCAGTTCATCTTGTTGAGTGGTTAACTCAGTTCATCTTGTGTGGTTAACTCAGTTCATATTCTTGTGTGGTTAACTCAGTTCATCTAGTGTGGTTAACTCAGTTCATCTTGTTGAGTGGTTAACTCAGTTCATCTTGTTGTGTGGTTAACTCAATTCATCTTGTGTGTTTAACTCAGTTCATCTTGTTGTGTTGTTAACTCAGTTCATCTTGTTGTGTGGTTAACTCAATTCATCTTGTGTGTTTAACTCAGTTCATCTTGTTGTGTTGTTAACTCAGTTCATCTTGTGTTGTTAACTCAGTTCATCTTGTGTTGTTAACTCAGTTCATCTTGTGTTGTTAACTCAGTTCTTCTTGTGGTGTGGTTAACTCAGTTCACTTTGTGTGGTTAACTCAGTTCATATTCTTGTGTGGTTAACTCAGTTCATCTTGTAGTGTGGTTAACTCAGTTCATATTCTTGTGTGGTTAACTCAGTTCATCTTGTTGTGTGGTTAACTCAGTTCATCTTGTGTGGTTAACTCAGTTCATATTCTTGTGTGGTTAACTCAGTTCATCTTGTGTGGTTAACTCAGTTCATATTCTTGTGTGATCACCATCTGTAGATCATATCTGTATCAGCAAGTAGTATATTAGGTCACTTTTGGGTCGTAGGCGCAGGCGCTGGGGGATGTGGATGGTGAGGTGGAGGTGGAACAAAGGCTATATAGGAAAATACTCCCCGCCTGGGGGATGCGGCGGGACAATGACATATAGCAAAATACTCCCACCACCAGGCGCAGCCTGCCGCAGCCTGGCGCAATGAGATATAGTAAAATACTCCCTGGGGGAGGGTGAGGTACACCGACATATAGTAAAATACTCCCCCACCTGGGGGAGGTGGATGGTGAGGGCTAGACATGTTATATAGTTAAATACTCCCCCACCTGGGGGAGGTGGATGGTGAGGTGGGTGAGCCGCAGGGACGATGAGATATAGTAAAATACTCCCCCACCCTAGGGTGGGGGAGGTGGTGGGGGAGTAGGTCAGTAGGTCACCACCGGTGATCTTGTGACGTAATCATTGACCTTGTGATGTAATCAGTGACCTAGTTACGTAATTTTAATGTGTTTTTAATTAGTTTTAATGAGTTTTTTAAATTTTAATTAATTTTTTATTAACGAGTTACGTAATTTGATTATTTGTTTGATTTTTAATTAATTTGATTTTAATTACTTTGTTTGTGTTTTGTTTGTTTATTTTTAATAAGTTTAATTAATTTGATTTTTATTTATTTTGTTTTGTATTTGTTGGATTTTAATTTTTTAATCATTTTTATTTTGTTTTTTAAATTTTAATTAATTTTAGTTTGATTTAATTGATTTGATTTTAATTTTTTAAATTTTTAAATTTTAAATTTTTTATTAACGAGTTACGAAATTTGATTTTAATTACTTTGTTTGTATTTTGTTTGTTTACTTTTAATGAGTTTAATTTTTTAAATTTTAATTTTTAATTAGTTTAATTATTATTATTAACTAGTTACGTGATTGGATTTTAATTTTTTTCTATTTTTAAATTTTTTAAATTTTTTAAATTTTTAAATTTTTAAATTTTTAAAATTATAATTTTTTAATTTTAAATTTTTATATTTGTTTATTATGTTTAATTGTTGTTTACTTATTGTTTATTTGTTTGAAATTCATTTTAATTAGTTTCAATTTAATTTTTATATTCTCCACCACAACACTAACGTATACAAAAGTAGAAATTCTTTCTCTCGACTACAAACATCCATTTATCCGCGGCTAATCGTTATCAACACCTGTTACTTATCGATTCACCAGCGATCCTTTGTTTTTTGACAGGTACCGACCGGAGATTTATGGGTTTTTCTCAGTCGCAGCTACGCGGCCATCAGTATGATGGTCCACCTAATTAAAGTTGGTCAGGCATCATGGATTTACAGCGGTTTACTCGGCGCTCCCCGTTTTTTAATGGGAATGTATTGATCGACTCGCCTCGACACCGTGTATCCATTAACCAACAGGCGACAGCTGTGCATCAGTTGTGCAACAGCTGGTACCACACTTTACACTAACAGTTAAACGTACAGTGTCATGGGTTTTTAGTTTCTGGTACGAGTATGTTAAACGTATATACACACACACACACTAAAATTAAAACAAAAATTTTCTTATATTTTATTTATTTATTAACGTTTTTTCCAAGTCATCAAAGGCTTTTAAAATATCACGGTGTAGACTTAACAAGTGTTTAATACATATTCGATTATAGTAATATGGGTGAGGGCGGTGAGCAGGCGGGTGAAGGGTGAACAGGTGGTTGAAGGGTGAGCAGGTGGGTGAAGGGTGAAAGGTGGGAGAAGGTGGGTGAAGGGGGAACACGAGTAGGAGTAAAGGATCCTAATATATAAAACCCCACGTTCGCACCTCTCTCTCTCTGTCCGCAAAATATTTTCGCCGGACATCACGTCAGAATCGGCAGCGATATATGAAGAACTTTTTACGGACTTTTGTTGAAAATAATATGTTAGATGTTTTAAATGTATAACCACAATTTTATTTAAAGAAGAAAAATAAAAAATAAAGGCGTATTCGAATATAGAGAAACAGTATTATTTATGCAACCGGAAAAGTGTATAAACTTGGGGCAAGAACGCAATTAACAATGACGTCGCTTATTGTTTACACTAAAACACTAAAACAAGAGCACGAAACTGATGACGTCATCTTCCGAGTTTAGAATTTTAAAAAATGAACTATTTCATTCAAATATGATTTAGAGCTATGTACGCTATGAAATGTATACAATACGATTTTCTCGGCCTAAACTTAAAAAAAATTATTTTATCTATTTGGATTCTAGATCTAGAGATTCTAGATCTAGATATTGATCTAGATCTAGATGTTCTAGATCATCTAGATCTAGAGATTCTAGATCATATAGATCTAGAGATTCTAGATCCAGATCTAGATGATCTAAGTTGTCGGGTGCCCGACAGGGCACTTCCCGGCGCGGCAGGTGCTTCAAATTTGGCAGGATCTTGCCTTGGGGCGACAGAACACGGGGGCCGGTTGGCCGAAAAGTCTACGATGAGGGGGTCAAAACTGACCTCGACTGACCTGCGCCTTATATGGGCGAATTAATTAAGCATTCAAATTCTCAATGTTTTCGAAAGCCTAAAATAACTCACCCAGCCCCTTAATCATTAAAAATTATTGATTTGTACTTTAGAGTGATTAGATTGAATGATATGTATGCTAACGTCATATCATATTTAGTTTTACGTCATTATATTGGTGAACTTTAAATGTAGACATTTTAAACGGTGTGTCATTTGACACGACGTACTATAACGTTGTTGTTTTTTAAAACTTGAAGTTTATAATCTTAAGCAAATTTTTACTAAGGTGATCAAAAATTAAGATGACAATGTAAGATATAGAAAAACAAAATACATTGAGTGGTAAAAATAAAAAATTGTCATTAGACGTAATGTATTATGTATAAGTAAACTTTCTTAAAAATTAAAGAAGTTCAAGTCAAAAAGAAGCTTGATGAAAACTGTAATACTAAAGCGAACATGGGAAGGTAATCTGCTGGAAGACTAAGATATATATTCGTCTTCCTTCTAGGTTCATTGCCTTTTTTGGTTGAGGTTAAACATCGCCATGTTTTCAAATATCGCGATGTACGTCACGTTCTCTCCCCTCTTACCTAGTAATCGCTTCCTCTACCTATTGTTTACAACACGCTTACAAAGAAAAAATATCCCACCCCTCTACTTGAGACATAAAATACAAAAGTGTATTGTGCCTTGTCGTCACAGGAAACAAAAACGGTGGCGTCTAATGTTGTTAACCCTTGACTTCCTAAATTATTTTTTAACTTGTTAAAGAAATTGAATGTTTAGTTAAGGATTCTGACGCGAATTTTTTTCACAAGGGACGATACTCGTGTCTGTAGACAAGGCTGTTCTAATTTTAGAACAGTTGTCTTTCCTCTCGTTTCTCTATTAGGGAAGACCTATGGGGAAGACACGTGATACTTCTTTTAAAATATAAACAACCGTGCACGGGTGCACTTAAAATAAACCCCGCTGCGAAAATGCCAACGGCATGGTGACACTTTTTGGAAAATATGCTTTCATGTAAATAAAATAAGGATCGCTTTTGTTGTCACCATGATAATGTATACCTATAAGTTCTCTCCGCCTTTATCGACCTAGTATGAATTTCGCGCGCGCGCGTATGTGTGTGTGTGTGTATGTGTGTGTATGTGTGTGTGTGTACGTGTATCTCAAAAAAGCGTATCATGTCAACACCTGGGCAACAAGTCATAGTCAAAAAGGCCTAATTCATTACAGATCTATAGGAAATCCGTCTTGACATGTGCTTACGTTAGGGGGAGTAAACTCGTTTGAATAAAAAAATGTATTTAAATATATAGAGTTATAGAACCTTAAAGTTAACAGATGATGAAAAAATAAATTAAAAATTAAAATTAAAATCCACCTCCTCACCCACCTCACTCAGGTGGTAGAGTCTTTTACTATATATCCTTTACTCCTACTCGTGTTCCCCCTTCACCCACCTTCTCCACCTTCACCCACCTTTCACCCTTCACCCACCTGCTCACCCTTCAACCACCTGTTCACCCTTCACCCGCCTGCTCACCGCCCTCACCCATATTACTATAATCGAATATGTATTAAACACTTGTTAAGTTTACACCGTGATATTTTAAAAGCCTTTGATGACTTGGAAAAAACGTTAATAAATAAATAAAATATAAGAAAACTTTTGTTTTAATTTTAGTGTGTGTGTGTGTGTGTGTATATATACGTTTAACATACTCGTACCAGAAACTAAAAAACCCATGACACTGTACGTTTAACTGTTAGTGTAAAGTGTGGTACCAGCTGTTGCACAACTGATGCACAGCTGTCGCCTGTTGGTTAATGGATACACGGTGTCGAGGCGAGTCGATCAATACATTCCCATTAAAAAACGGGGAGCGCCGAGTAAACCGCTGTAAATCCATGATGCGTGACCAACTTTAATTAGGTGGACCATCGTACTGATGACCGCGTAGCTGCGACCGAGAAAAACCCATAAATCTCCGGTCGGTACCTGTCAAAAAAACAAAGGATCGCTGGTGAATCGATAAGTAACAGGTGTTGATAACGATTAGCCGCGGATAAATGGATGTTTGTAGTCGAGAGAAAGAATTTCTACTTTTGTATACGTTAGTGTTGTGGTGGAGAATATAAAAATTAAATTGAAACTAAGTAAACAACAATTAAACATAATAAACAAATATAAAAATTTAAAATTAAAAAATAATAATTTAAAAAATTAAAAAATTAAAAAATTAAAAAAATTTAAAAAATTTAAAAATTTAAAAAATTAAAATCCAATCACGTAACTAGTTAATAATAATAATTAAACTAATTAAAAATTAAAATTTAAAAAATTAAACTCATTAAAAATAAACAAAATACAAAGTAATTAAAATCAAATTTCGTAACTCGTTAATAAAAAATTTAAAATTTAAAAATTTAAAAAATTAAAATCAAATCAATTAAATCAAACTAAAATTAATTAAAATTTAAAAAACAAAATAAAAATGATTAAAAAATTAAAATCCAACAAATACAAAACAAAATAAATAAAAATCAAATTAATTAAACTTATTAAAAATAAACAAACAAAACACAAACAAAGTAATTAAAATCAAATTAATTAAAAATCAAACAAATTAAAATTACGTAACTCGTTAATAAAAAATTAATTAAAATTTAAAAAACTCATTAAAACTAATTAAAAACACATTAAAATTACGTAACTAGGTCACTGATTACATCACAAGGTCAATGATTACGTCACAAGATCACCGGTGGTGACCTACTGACCTACTCCCCCACCACCTCCCCCACCCTAGGGTGGGGGAGTATTTTACTATATCTCATCGTCCCTGCGGCTCACCCACCTCACCATCCACCTCCCCCAGGTGGGGGAGTATTTAACTATATAACATGTCTAGCCCTCATCATCCACCTCCCCCAGGTGGGGGAGTATTTTACTATATGTCGGTGTACCTCACCCTCCCCCAGGGAGTATTTTACTATATCTCATTGCGCCAGGCTGCGGCAGGCTGCGCCTGGTGGTGGGAGTATTTTGCTATATGTCATTGTCCCGCCGCATCCCCCAGGCGGGGAGTATTTTCCTATATAGCCTTTGTTCCACCTCCACCTCCACCTCACCATCCACATCCCCCAGCGCCTGCGCCTACGACCCAAAAGTGACCTAATATACTACTTCTGCACCTGCGGATCTGTATGTATCACCACCTTCAGGTCTGTGTGTATCACCACCTGCAGGTCTGTGTGTATCACCACCTGCAGGTCTGTGTGTATCACCACCTGCAGGTCTGTGTGTATCACCCCCTGCAGGTCTGTGTGTATCACTACCTGCAGGTCTGTGTGTATCACCATCTGCACATCTGAAAATGTATCACCCCTGCAGGTCTGTGTGTATCACCACCTGCAGGTCTGTGTGTATCACCACCTGCAAGTCTGTGTGTATCACTACCTGCAGGTCTGTGTGTATCACCATCTGCACATCTGAAAATGTATCACCCCTGCAGGTCTGTGTGTATCACCACCTGCAGGTCTGTGTGTATCACTACCTGCAGGTCTGTGTGTATCACCATCTGCACATCTGAAAATGTATCACCCCCTGCAGGGCTGGCTGGCGTGGCCGTGTCTGTGTATGTGTCTGAAGTCTCCGAGGCCGGCTCCAGAGGCCGCCATATTTTCTTCCAACAAGTCATGTCCAACGCTGGTATCCTAGCCAGTGGCCTGCTGTCTGGGGCGTTCTCGTTCCTGCACCCTGACGGATGGAGGTAGGTGAACACATACAGGTGGCACAGGTACACGTCTATCACCTGCCACAGGTACATGTCTCTCACCTGCCATGTCTCTCACCTGCCACAGGTACATGTCTATCACCTGCCACAGGTTCATGTCTCTCACTGCCTCAGGTATGAGTCTCTCACCTGCCACAGGTACATGTCTCTCACCTGTCATGTCTCTCACCTGCCACAGGTACATGTCTCTGACCTGTCACAGTTACATGTCTCTCACCTGTCACAGGTACATGTCTCTCACCTGTCACAGGTACATGTCTCTCACCTGCCATGTCTCTCACCTGCCACAGGTACATGTCTCTGACCTGTCACAGTTACATGTCTCTCACCTGTCACAGGTACATGTCTCTCACCTGCCATGTCTCTCACCTGCCACAGGTACATGTCTATCACCTGCCACAGGTTCATGTCTCTCACTGCCTCAGGTATGAGTCTCTCACCTGCCACAGTTACATGTCTCTCACCTGTCACAGGTACATGTCTCTCACCTGTCATGTCTCTCACCTGTCACAGGTACATGTCTCTGACCTGTCACAGGTACATGTCTCTCACCTGTCACAGGTACATGTCTATCACTTGCCACAGGTACATGTCTCTCAGCTGCCACAGGTACATGTCTCTCACCTGCCACAGGTACATGTCTCTGACCTGTCACAGGTACATGTCTCTCACCTGTCACAGGTACATGTCTATCACTTGCCACAGGTACATGTCTCTCACCTGCCACAGGTACATGTCTCTGACCTGTCACAGGTACATGTCTATCACTTGCCACAGGTACATGTCTCTCACCTGCCACAGGTACATGTCTCTCACCTGTCACAGGTACATGTCTATCACTTGCCACAGGTACATGTCTCTCACCTGCCACAGGTACATGTCTCTGACCTGTCACAGGTACATGTCTCTCACCTGTCACAGGTACATGTCTATCACTTGCCACAGCTACATATCTCTCACCTGCCACAGGTACATGTCTCTCAGCTGCCACAGGTACATGTCTCTCACCTGCCACAGGTACATGTCTCTCACCTGCCACAGGTACATGTCTCTCACCTGCCACAGGTACATGTCTCTCACCTGCCACAGGTACATTTCTCTCACCTGCCATGTCTCCCACCTGTCACAGGTACATGTCTCTCACCTGTCACAGGTAAATGTCTCTCACCTGCCACAGGTACATGTCTCTCACCTGCCACAGGTACATGCTGGGTATGATCGTTGTCCCGGGGGTGGTGCAACTGTGTGGGTTCTGCTTGATGCCAGAGTCGCCACGCTGGCTGGTCAGTCGTGGACGGACGGACGATGCCAGACAGGTGCTGACACGTCTCAGAGCTGGAGCAGACGTCAACAAGGAACTCAAGGACATCCTCAAGGTCGTTGAGGAGGAGAAGACAACTCTTGCTGGTGAGACAACTCGGGTTAATCAGATGATAGTTTTAAACGTTTGTTGCTGTTTCGTGTTCAAATCATATTAACTTTTTAAAACTGTGTTTAACTGTGTTGTGTTTAACTGCTTTATTTTAACTGTGTTCTATTTAACTGTGTTGTGTTTAACTATGTTGTGTTTGACTGTGTTGTGTTTAAATGTATCGTGTTTAAATGTGTTTAACTGTGTTGTGTTTAACTGTGTTGTGTTTAACTGTGTTGTGTTTAAATGTATCGTGTTTAAATGTGTTTAACTGTGTTGTGTTTAACTGTGTTGTATTTAACTTGTTGCAGGTGGCTGCCAGCACTATGTCCACCTCCTTCGATCGCCCTCAGTCAGGCGAGCTCTGGCCGTTGGCTGTGGCCTGGTTTTATTCCAGCAGTGGACAGGCATCAACTCCGTCTTGTGAGTGGTCCAGGACCTGGTTAGCACCTGGTTAGCACCTGGTCAGGCACCTGGTCTAGCACCTGGTTAGCACCTGGTCTAGCACCTGGTTAGCACCTGGTTAGCACATGGTCTAGCACCTGGTCCAGCACCTGGTTAGCACCTGGTCTAGCACCTGGTCCAGCACCTGGTTAGCACATGGTCTAGCACCTGGTTAGAACCTGGTTAGCACATGGTCTAGCACCTGGTCTAGCACCTGGTTAGCACATGGTCTAGCACCTGGTTAGCACCTGGTTAGCACCTGGTCTAACACCTGGTTAGCACCTGGTCTAGCACCTGGTTAGCACATGGTCTAGCACCTGGTTAGAACCTGGTTAGCACATGGTCTAGCACCTGGTCTAGCACCTGGTTAGCACATGGTCTAGCACCTGGTTAGTACCTGGTTAGCACCTGGTCTAGCACCTGGTTAGCACCTGGTCTAGCACCTGGTTAGCACCTGGTCTAGCACATGGTCTAGCACCTGGTTAGCACCTGGTTAGCACCTGGTCTAGCACCTGGTTAGAACCTGGTCTAGCAACTGGTTAGCACCTGGTCTAGCACCTGGTTAGCACCTGGTCTAGCACCTGGTTAGCACTTGGTTAGCACCTGGTTAGCACCTGGTCTAGCACCAGGTCCAGTGCCTGGTGTAGCACCTAATGTAGCACTTGAATTTTTTTTTTAATGCAGAAAGTTTTGACTGAAAAAGTTTTGACTGTGAAAATTTTGACTGTGAAAATTTTGACTGAGAAAGATTTGACTGAGAAATTTTTGACTGAGAAAGTTTTGACTGAGAAATTTTTGACTGAGAAAGTTTGACTGAGAAAGTTTTGACTGAGAAAGTTTTGACTGAGAAAGATTTGACTGAGAAAGATTTGACTGAGAAAGTTTTGACTGAGAAAAATTTGACTGAGAAAGTTTTGACTGAGAAAAATTTGACTGAGAAAGTTTTGACTGAGAAAGTTTTGACTGAGAAAGTTTTGACTGAGAAAGTTTTGACTGAGAAAGTTTTGACTTTCAGTTACTACAGCGGCACTGTGATCAAGATGGCCGGCTTCCCCACCACACACGCCGTGTGGCTGGTCACGATCCCAAACTCTGTTTTCTTCATCGCCTCTTTCATCGGACTCTACGGCGTCGAGAAGGTGGGCCGGAGACCAATCCTTATCGTCAGCATTTCTGGTGAGCTTTAGACAAGTCCTTCAAACGAGGGCACTGGTCACATATCAATGACTTTACATCTAAATATAGACATGCTTTCCCAGGCACTCTGGTGGGCCTGAGCTTGATGGCCGTGGGGTTCCAGCTGACCGCCGTCCACTCGCCTCAACTCAACTGGACAGGATGGGACAGCAACAGCTCTGTAGACTGTATGGTCAAACACAGGTGGACAGTTTAACATCTTTCACATACAGACTTTTTGGGGTGGACATTTTAACGACATCTTTTACATACAGACTGTTTGGGGTGGACATTTTAACGACATCTTTTACATACAGACTGAATGGGGTGGACATTTTAAAGACATCTTTCACATACAGACTGAATGGAGTGTACATTTTAACAACTTTGTGAAAACTCTGTTGCCCATCTAAAACAACTTTATGAAAACTCTGTTGCCCATCTAAAACAACTTTATGAAAACTCTGTTGCCCATCTAAAACAACTTTGTGAAAACTTTATTGCCCATCTAAAACAACTTTGTGAAAACTCTGTTGCCCATCTAAAACAACTTTATGAAAACTCTGTTGCCCATCTAAAACAACTTTATGAAAACTCTGTTGCCCATCTAAAACAACTTTGTGAAAACTTTGTTGCCCATCTAAAACAACTTTATGAAAACTTTGTTGTCCATCTAAAACAACTTTGTGAAAACTTTATTGCCCATCTAAAACAACTTTGTGAAAACTCTGTTGCCCATCTAAAACAACTTTATGAAAACTCTGTTGCCCATCTAAAACAACTTTATGAAAACTCTGTTGCCCATCTAAAACAACTTTGTGAAAACTTTGTTGCCCATCTAAAACAACTTTATGAAAACTTTGTTGTCCATCTAAAACAACTTTGTGAAAACTCTGTTGCCGATCTAAAACAACTTTATGAAAACTTTGTTGCCCATCTAAAACAACTCTGTTGCTCATCTAAAACAACTTCATGAAAACTTTGTTTCCCATCTAAAACAACTTTATGAAAACTCTGTTGCCCATCTAAAACAACTTTGTTGCCCATCTAAAACAACTTTGTGAAAACTTTGTTGCCCATCTAAAACAACTCTGTTGCCCATCTAAAACAACTCTGTTGCCCATCTAAAACAACTCTGTTGCCCATCTAAAACAACTTCATGAAAACTTTGTTGCCCATCTAAAACAACTTTATGAAAACTCTGTTGCCCATCTAAAACAACTTTGTTGCCCATCTAAAACAACTTTGTGAAAACTTTGTTGCCCATCTAAAACAACTCTGTTGCCCATCTAAAACAACTCTGTTGCCCATCTAAAACAACTCTGTTGCCCATCTAAAACAACTTTGTGAAAACTTTGTTGCCTATTTAGGAGCTGCCAGACCTGTACTGAGGACAACTCGTGCGGGTTCTGCTACACCGATGAGAGTTACGGCACTTGCCTGCCCTCCTTCAATGCCCAGCGCTCTTTTAATGGTCCGTGTAACACGTCCACGGGCACTGAAGGTTTCTACAAGTGGGCATATCAGTTCTGCCCTAGCAGCTACTCTTGGCTTCCATTATTGGGCATGACGGCTTTTGTTTTGGCATATGCCCCAGGTCTAGCTGATTTTTTCCTTAAAACTAGCAATATGAAATTAGATTGGTCCATTACGTTTAGCTAAAGCTTTATTTATTTTTTTGTATGGCGTTCCTCAAGTTCTGGGATGGTGGTTTAAGTTTGAGGTTGACATGACCTTTGTGACCTCTCTAGGCCTGGGACCTGTGACCTGGACGTTGAATGCTGAGATCTACCCCCTGTGGGCCAGAAGCTCGTGTAACGCCATCAGTTCGTGTGTGGGCTGGCTGTGTAACATCATCTTCACCCTCAACTTTCTCACGCTGGCAGAGAACATCACCATGTACGGTAGGTTTTAATCATCACCAGCACGTTCCAAACATTCTCAACATTGTGGTGCACACACCAGATAAACCACATTCGATTTTTAAACCTGAGTCAGTTCCAGGATTTGACATCTACGTAGAATTTTTCAAATGTCATTAAATGTCCAGGTGTTGGTGTGTCATCAAATGTCCAGGTGTTGATGTGTGATCAAATGTCCAGGTGTTGGTGTGTGATCAAATGTCCAGGTGTTGGTGTGTCATCAAATGTCCAGGTGTTGATGTGTGATCAAATGTCCAGGTGTTGGTGTGTGATCAAATGCCCAGGTGTTGGTGTGTCATCAAATGTCCAGGTGTTGATGTGTCATCAAATGTCCAGGTGTTGATGTGTCATCAAATGTCCAGGTGTTGATGTGTCATCAAATGTCCAGGTGTTGATGTGTCATCAAATGTCCAGGTGTTGATGTGTCATCAAATGTCCAGGTGTTGATGTGTCATCAAATGTCCAGGTGTTGATGTGTCATCAAATGTCCAGGTGTTGATGTGTCATCAAATGTCCAGGTGTTGATGTGTCACCCCCCCCTCTTCTACTGACCAGGCACGTGCTGGCTGTTCGTGGCACTGACGGTCGTGGGCGTCACCTTCGTCGTCCTGCAGGTGCCAGAAACCAGGAACAAAAGTCTGGAGGAGCTGGAGGAACTTTTCACAGACAGACTCCACAAAGACAGCCCAGCACAGATGACGTCACAGACAGACACAACAAAGACAGCCCAGCACAGATGACGTCACAGACAGACTCCACAAAGACAGCCCAGCACAGATGACGTCACAGACTCCACAAAGACAGCCCAGCACAGATGACGTCACAGACAGACTCCACAAAGACAGCCCAGCACAGATGACGTCACAGACAGACTCCACAAAGACAGCCCAGCACAGATGACGTCACAGACTCCACAAAGACAGCCCAGCACAGATGACGTCACAGACTCCACAAAGACAGCCCAGCACAGATGACGTCACAGACAGACACAACAAAGACAGCCCAGCACAGATGACGTCACAGACAGACTCCACAAAGACAGCCCAGCACAGATGACGTCACAGACACAACAATGACAGCCCAAAAGAGTCTCAATATTGGTCTCTGCGACGTTACATACCACCTTTGTACCACCGTTTTACCACCTTTGTACCGACGTTGTACCACCGTTGCACCGACGTTGTACACCTTTGTACCGTCGTTGTACACATTTGTACCACCGTTGCACCGACGTTGTACACCTTTGTACCGTCGTTGTACACATTTGTACCGCCGTTGTACCGACGTTGTACTTATTTGTACCGATGTTGTTTATATTTGTACCGACGTTGTACCACAGTTGTACCGACGTTGTACACCTTTGTATCGACATTGTACCACCTTTGTACCGACGTTGTATACCTTTGTACCGACGGTGTACACCTTTGTACCGACGTTGTACCACCTTTGTACAATCTTTGTACCATGGTTATACCAGCTTTGTGCCGACGTTGTACCACCCATGTCTCACCTTTATACCACCGTTGTACAACCTTTGTACCCGTTGAACCACCTTTGTAAAACCTTTGTACCGTCATTTTACCTCCTTTGTACCGACGCTGTACCACCTTTGTACTGACGTTACACTTTATTTACGTTTAGTTTTGCCGCAAATGGTACCCTAGATATGCTCCTACTTGTCAAATGTAAAAAGCAATGTTTCTCAAATCTATTTATGTCGTGAGGTCGTTTAATGAATTGATAGATTATAAATATGAAGCATTTGATGATTAATGACGCTGAATAAATAAATACAATAACTATTTTGTTGTGATTACGACAATCTTTTGATGCCCATATATATATATATATATATATATATATATATATATATATATATATATATATATATATATATATATATATGTTCTAATGGCGGGGGTGGTTGGGGTCTTAGGTGCACCGTCAAAACGGCCCCGTCAATATGACTACATACACCCACACAGATATATTGACGAAAATTGCAAAACTATGTTTTTCCGACTCAGGGAGGTGTAAAACGTCAAGATTTATAAAAATCTTGATTTCGATTTTGCGCACGATTACAATATTTCCTCTATACGAATTTTAGCACGATTATATGACTTCCTCTATACTTCGTATACGAGAAAGTAAAAAAGTCATGAAATAAATTATCAGTCATCAAATAATTTTAAAAATTTCATAAGAGTTTTTTCTTAACACAAACAAGTCATTCTCGATACCATTAAATAAAAATATTAAACTTTATTTTGAACAATTACAAGGGTATTCAGTAAGGCCTTTTTACACATTGGCGTTTACTAAAGAAAAACAAATATCAAAGAAAAACAAATATCAAAGAAAAACAAACATCAAAGAAAAACAAACATCAAAGAAAAACAAACATCAAAGAAAAACAAACATCAAAGTAAAACAAACATCAAAGAAAAACAAACATCAAAGAAAAACAAACATCAAAGAAAAACAAACATCAAAGAAAACAAACATCAAAGAAAAACAAACATCAAAGAAAAACAAACATCAAAGAAAAACAAATATCAAAGAAAAACAAATATCAAAGAAAAACAAACATCAAAGAAAAACAAACATCAAAGAAAAACAAACATCAAAGAAAAACAAACATCAAAGAAAAACAAACATCAAAGAAAAACAAACATCAAAGAAAAACAAACATCAAAGAAAAACAAATATCAAAGAAAAACAAATATCAAAGAAAAACAAATATCAAAGAAAAACAAACATCAAAGAAAAACAAACATCAAAGAAAAACAAACATCAAAGAAAAACAAACATCAAAGAAAAACAAACATCAAAGAAAAACAAACATCAAAGAAAAACAAACATCAAAGAAAAACAAACATCAAAGAAAAACAAACATCAAAGAAAAACAAACATCAAAGAAAAACAAATATCAAAGAAAAACAAATATCAAAGAAAAACAAATATCAAAGAAAAACAAATATCAAAGAAAAACAAATATCAAAGAAAAACAAATATCAAAGAAAAACAAATATCAAAGAAAAACAAATATCAAAGATATGAAATAAAATGTTAAAGACTTGGTAGTAGCACAGGGAATAAAGAAATAGTATTGACATTTTTGTATTACATAGTTGAAAGAATCACATCTTTGTATTACATAGTTGAAAGAATCTCATCTTTGTATTACATAGTTCAAAGAATCACATCTTTGTATCACATAGTTGAAAGAATCACATCTTTGTATTACATAGTTCAAAGAATCACATCTTTGTATCACATAGTTGAAAGAATCACATCTTTGTATCACATAGTTGAAAGAATCACATCTTTGTATTACATAGTTGAAAGAATGATAATAGACGCGATAGTGAAAAAGTTGATTTTTTTCAGTTTTATTTTAAATATATATTGAGTTGTGGATTAGTTTCTTTTATTTGGAAGATTGTTCCAGAAACTAGCCCCAGAGTTAGCGAAATTGCCTTTGGAAAAAAGTTGTGTATGGGATAAGTAAACTAAGACGACATTTTAATTCTGTATTGTAAGAAAATAGTCTGATAAGTACGGCCTGATTCATAAAAAGTTTAATTGAAAAGTTGCTTTAGTATATATTTTATTTTTAACATTATATATAATTTTTCCCTAGGACACGAGTTTTAAAGAAAGAATCTGAACGACTAGATAAGCCAGTAAATTCACAGATAATGAGAAATACATCACTAGATCAATTTATGCTACACAATCTCCAAGCTCCTATCGTAAATTTGAACAAGTCCATTAGACCCGTAAAGGGGGTGTAACTCAATATATTTTTTTCATGTGAGTGTAGTTATCGGGTAACCCCAGAACTCTAAAAATGAACTCTCAGGAACGGAGAAATCCGGTGAATAAAATATTAATCAGATGGAAAACCCGTCCGATCATGTGACTTGGCTGACTGAACAAGTCATACAGGAGACTTTTTTGACTGCATGATCACATGACCTGCCTGAGGTTTTTCTGGGGATTTCAAAAATTTCTTTTCTCTGTGACGTCAGCTGTATTGAGGTTCAGGGTGCTCTGGTAGGTGGTGGTGTGTGGGGGTGATCGTGTGTGTGGGGTGTGGGGGGGCGTGTAGCTAGGGAATGGTTTTTGTGTTGTGTGTGTGTATGTGTAGCTAGGGTATGGTTTTTGTGTTGTGTGTGTGTGTATGTGTAGCTAGGGTGTGGTTTTTGTGTTGTGTGTGTGTATGTGTAGCTAGGGTATGGTTTTTGTGTTGTGTGTGTGTATGTGTAGCTAGGGTGTGGTTTTTGTGTTGTGTGTGTGTATGTGTAGCTAGGGTATGGTTTTTGTGTTGTGTGTGTGTATGTGTAGCTAGGGTGTGGTTGTTATGTGTGTGACTGTGTGGCTGACAAGACAGTCTTGTTATTTAACTTGTCCTCTCTATTTCACTTCTCTCCCCTGAAACCAAAGAAAAATTCCACGTGAGAGGCGAGGGTGTGGGTGTGGGTGTTGACTAGCTAAATCAGAAAACATAACTAATGAAATACATTTTTCTATGAGACTGGCTTTAGTCTATTTACGTGTATGTTGACATGTATGTGTATGTTATCATGACGTGTAGATTTAAAAGTCGGACAACAATGAAATACCTTCAGCTAAAAACAGCAAGGGCCGATTCACCGTGTTATCGAGACTAGCTGGAAGTGAATGAAAAAAAGGGATGTTACAGAACTCAGCTGAGAATTATAGGACATGTTAGAACCATTAGGATCATAACGCTACACAACATTTTGAATGCACACACAAGGCTTCTACTCAAAGGTTTGGACTTACTAGGTTTTCTTGGTGGTGCGATGTATTCTTCTAAAATAAAACACACAGACATATACATATTATATATATATTATATATATATATATATATATATATATATATATATATATATATATATATATATATATATATATATATATATACAGTGAAATGAAGCAAAATTAAAGCAGATAGTAGTTATTAAATGTAGCTAGCCTTAATCTACAAAGACGTATATCAATGCTACAGTTTAAATCACATACCACAGTTGATGCCGTATATCGATGCAATATTTGCCATTCTTGAATCATACTGCAAAAAAAAAAATGATCAAATAAAAACTAAAATAGTATAGATCTATTTCAGGAACGATAATTTGAACAGCTAAGTTACATCAATACAACACTTGTGTGTTGATCCTAAACGATTGGTTTGAAATTGTTGTCCCAAAGATTTGTCTGGGTTTGCTTACGTAGTATTTGAGAGCTTGGGAGTGGCAACCCTTAGATTCCATGCAACTTTTTAACTCGTTTATTTTTCTGTTGAATTGAAATCAATTTAATTACTGTGGTAACTGTAAGTTAAAATAGGAAACAATAATTTATTTTGTCTACACAAAGTTTTGACGAACTGAGAAAACACGTAACGGCTCTAGACAGAAAACAAGTTTTGGCCAACTGAGACGACGTAACGGCTCTAGACAGAAGACAAGTTTTGGCCAACTGAGACACGTAACGGCTCTAGACAGAAGACAAGTTTTGGCCAACTGAGACACGTAACGGCTCTAGACAGAAGACAAGTTTTGGCCAACTGAGAGGACGTAACGGCTCTAGACAGAAGACAAGTTTTGGCCAACTGAGACACGTAACGGCTCTAGACAGAAGACAAGTTTTGGCCAACTGAGACAAACACGTCACGGCTCTAGACAGAAGACAAGTTTTGGCCAACTGAGACGACGTAACGGCTCTAGACAGAAGACAAGTTTTGGCCAACTGAGACACGTAACGGCTCTAGACAGAAGACAAGTTTTGGCCAACTGAGACACGTAACGGCTCTAGACAGAAGACAAGTTTTGGCCAACTGAGACAAACACGTAACGGCTCTAGACAGAAGACAAGTTTTGGCCAACTGAGAGGACGTAACGGCTCTAGACAGAAGACAAGTTTTGGCCAACTGAGACAAACACGTAACGGCTCTAGACAGAAGACAAGTTTTGGCCAAATGAGACAAACACGTAACGGCTCTAGACAGAAGACAAGTTTTGGCCAACTGAGACACGTAACGGCTCTAGACAGAAGACAAGTTTTGGCCAACTGAGACAAACACGTAACGGCTCTAGAAAGAAGACAAGTTTTGGCCAACTGAGAGGACGTAACGGCTCTAGACAGAAGACAAGTTTTGGCCAACTGAGACACGTAACGGCTCTAGACAGAAGACAAGTTTTGGCCAACTGAGACAAACACGTAACGGCTCTAGACAGAAGACAAGTTTTGGCCAACTGAGACACGTAACGGCTCTAGACAGAAGACAAGTTTTGGCCAACTGAGACAAACACGTAACGGCTCTAGACAGAAGACAAGTTTTGGCCAACTGAGAGGACGTAACGGCTGTAGACAGAAGACAAGTTTTGGCCAACTGAGACAAACACGTAACGGCTCTAGACAGAAGACAAGTTTTGGCCAACTGAGAGGACGTAACGGCTCTAGACAGAAGACAAGTTTTGGCCAACTGAGAGGACGTAACGGCTCTAGACAGAAGACAAGTTTTGGCCAACTGAGACACGTAACGGCTCTAGACAGAAGACAAGTTTTGGCCAATTGAGACAAACACGTAACGGCTCTAGACAGAAGACAAGTTTTGGCCAACTGAGAGGACGTAACGGCTCTAGACAGAAGACAAGTTTTGGCCAACTGAGACAAACACGTAACGGCTCTAGACAGAAGACAAGTTTTGGCCAACTGAGACACGTAACGGCTCTAGACAGAAGACAAGTTTTGGCCAATTGAGACAAACACGTAACGGCTCTAGACAGAAGACAAGTTTTGGCCAACTGAGAGGACGTAACGGCTCTAGACAGAAGACAAGTTTTGGCCAACTGAGACAAACACGTAACGGCTCTAGACAGAAGACAAGTTTTGGCCAAATGAGACAAACACGTAACGGCTCTAGACAGAAGACAAGTTTTGGCCAATTGAGACAAACACGTAACGGCTCTAGACAGAAGACAAGTTTTGGCCAACTGAGAGGACGTAACGGCTCTAGACAGAAGACAAGTTTTGGCCAACTGAGACAAACACGTAACGGCTCTAGACAGAAGACAAGTTTTGGCCAACTGAGACACGTAACGGCTCTAGACAGAAGACAAGTTTTGGCCAACTGAGACAAACACGTAACGGCTCTAGACAGAAGACAAGTTTTGGCCAACTGAGACACGTAACGGCTCTAGACAGAAGACAAGTTTTGGCCAACTGAGACAAACACGTAACGGCTCTAGACAGAAGACAAGTTTTGGCCAACTGAGAGGACGTAACGGCTGTAGACAGAAGACAAGTTTTGGCCAACTGAGACAAACACGTAACGGCTCTAGACAGAAGACAAGTTTTGGCCAACTGAGAGGACGTAACGGCTCTAGACAGAAGACAAGTTTTGGCCAACTGAGAGGACGTAACGGCTCTAGACAGAAGACAAGTTTTGGCCAACTGAGAGGACGTAACGGCTCTAGACAGAAGACAAGTTTTGGCCAACTGAGACAAACACGTAACGGCTCTAGACAGAAGACAAGTTTTGGCCAACTGAGACACGTAACGGCTCTAGACAGAAGACAAGTTTTGGCCAACTGAGACAAACACGTAACGGCTCTAGACAGAAGACAAGTTTTGGCCAACTGAGACAAACACGTAACGGCTCTAGACAGAAGACAAGTTTTGGCCAACTGAGACAAACACGTAACGGCTCTAGACAGAAGACAAGTTTTGGCCAACTGAGACAAACACGTAACGGCTCTAGACAGAAGACAAGTTTTGGCCAACTGAGACAAACACGTAACGGCTCTAGACAGAAGACAAGTTTTGGCCAACTGAGACAAACACGTAACGGCTCTAGACAGAAGACAAGTTTTGGCCAACTGAGACAAGTAACGGCTCTAGACAGAAGACAAGTTTTGGCCAACTGAGACAAACACGTAACGGCTCTAGACAGAAGACAAGTTTTGGCCAACTTAGAGGACGTAACGGCTCTAGACAGAAGACAAGTTTTGGCCAACTGAGAGGACGTAACGGCTCTAGACAGAAGACAAGTTTTGGCCAACTGAGACAAACACGTAACGGCTCTAGACAGAAGACAAGTTTTGGCCAACTGAGAGGACGTAACGGCTCTAGACAGAAGACAAGTTTTGGCCAATTGAGACAAACACGTAACGGCTCTAGACAGAAGACAAGTTTTGGCCAACTGAGACAAACACGTAACGGCTCTAGACAGAAGACAAGTTTTGGCCAACTGAGACAAACACGTAACGGCTCTAGACAGAAGACAAGTTTTGGCCAACTGAGACAAACACGTAACGGCTCTAGACAGAAGACAAGTTTTGGCCAACTGAGAGGACGTAACGGCTCTAGACAGAAGACAAGTTTTGGCCAACTGAGAGGACGTAACGGCTCTAGACAGAAGACAAGTTTTGGCCATCTGAGACACGTAACGGCTCTAGACAGAAGACAAGTTTTGGCCAACTGAGACAAACACGTAACGGCTCTAGACAGAAGACAAGTTTTGGCCAACTGAGACACGTAACGGCTCTAGACAGAAGACAAGTTTTGGCCAATTGAGACAAACACGTAACGGCTCTAGACAGAAGACAAGTTTTGGCCAACTGAGACAAACACGTAACGGCTCTAGACAGAAGACAAGTTTTGGCCAACTGAGACACGTAACGGCTCTAGACAGAAGACAAGTTTTGGCCAACTGAGACAAACACGTAACGGCTCTAGACAGAAGACAAGTTTTGGCCAACTGAGAGGACGTAACGGCTGTAGACAGAAGACAAGTTTTGGCCAACTGAGACAAACACGTAACGGCTCTAGACAGAAGACAAGTTTTGGCCAACTGAGAGGACGTAACGGCTCTAGACAGAAGACAAGTTTTGGCCAACTGAGAGGACGTAACGGCTCTAGACAGAAGACAAGTTTTGGCCAACTGAGAGGACGTAACGGCTCTAGACAGAAGACAAGTTTTGGCCAACTGAGACAAACACGTAACGGCTCTAGACAGAAGACAAGTTTTGGCCAACTGAGACACGTAACGGCTCTAGACAGAAGACAAGTTTTGGCCAACTGAGACAAACACGTAACGGCTCTAGACAGAAGACAAGTTTTGGCCAACTGAGACAAACACGTAACGGCTCTAGACAGAAGACAAGTTTTGGCCAACTGAGAGGACGTAACGGCTCTAGACAGAAGACAAGTTTTGGCCAACTGAGAGGACGTAACAGCTCTAGACAGAAGACAAGTTTTGGCCATCTGAGACACGTAACGGCTCTAGACAGAAGACAAGTTTTGGCCAACTGAGACAAACACGTAACGGCTCTAGACAGAAGACAAGTTTTGGCCAATTGAGACAAACACGTAACGGCTCTAGACAGAAGACAAGTTTTGGCCAACTGAGACACGTAACGGCTCTAGACAGAAGACAAGTTTTGGCCAACTGAGACAAACACGTAACGGCTCTAGACAGAAGACAAGTTTTGGCCAACTGAGACACGTAACGGCTCTAGACAGAAGACAAGTTTTGGCCAACTGAGACAAACACGTAACGGCTCTAGACAGAAGACAAGTTTTGGCCAATTGAGACAAACACGTAACGGCTCTAGACAGAAGACAAGTTTTGGCCAACTGAGACAAACACGTAACGGCTCTAGACAGAAGACAAGTTTTGGCCAACTGAGACAAACACGTAACGGATCTAGACAGAAGACAAGTTTTGGCCAACTGAGAGGACGTAACGGCTCTAGACAGAAGACAAGTTTTGGCCATCTGAGACACGTAACGGCTCTAGACAGAAGACAAGTTTTGGCCAACTGAGACACGTAACGGCTCTAGACAGAAGACAAGTTTTGGCCAACTGAGACAAACACGTAACGGCTCTAGACAGAAGACAAGTTTTGGCCAACTGAGACAAACACGTAACGGCTCTAGACAGAAGACAAGTTTTGGCCAATTGAGACAAACACGTAACGGCTCTAGACAGAAGACAAGTTTTGGCCAACTGAGACAAACACGTAACGGCTCTAGACAGAAGACAAGTTTTGGCCAACTGAGACAAACACGTAACGGCTCTAGACAGAAGACAAGTTTTGGCCAACTGAGAGGACGTAACGGCTCTAGACAGAAGACAAGTTTTGGCCAACTGAGAGGACGTAACGGCTCTAGACAGAAGACAAGTTTTGGCCATCTGAGACACGTAACGGCTCTAGACAGAAGACAAGTTTTGGCCAACTGAGACAAACACGTAACGGCTCTAGACAGAAGACAAGTTTTGGCCAACTGAG